GGGGTGCAGAGAAACATGAGGCCTCCTTGAGGCGCTGCTGGAAGTCTGTAGACATGTTCGTCAAGGCCTCCTCCAGCGCCTGGCCCACTGCTTCGGGGGAGGGGGGGCAAAGGGCGGGAGGTGCAGATCGCCAGCCGCGCTATTTCGCAACACGGAACGCAGGCGCATCGCACGATTGACACGCCGACCTCGAGACCAAGCATCGCCGATCCCTGAAGTCGACGACTGCACTGTCAAGGACCACCGCGATCGCCGTCCACTGACACACGACCGAAATAAGCCATCATCCCTTCCCCGTCCTTCTGCAGCCACCATCCAGGCGCCCATATAAGAACAACAAGAAACGTGAATTTAAACTTTTCAAGGTCCGCGCGGATTTCTTGGATCTGCAATGGGCCCTTTGGCGGCGCCTCTGGCGCCAGGGAGGAGGGTCCAGCGCTGGTCCTAACAATACTCGCGGACCTTCGACAGGTTATGCTTATGCCGTGCTTCCTTCTTCTAGTCCACACCCAATGGCTGAAAGATGGCAGACCACAGACCTTGTGGCGTGGCAGCCTAGTCTCAGGGACTGTCGGGCGGCACATACAGGCGCAGATCCTGGCACCAACATGCTATGGGCGGCGCTACACATCTCACGCCCCTCCTCCTCCTCCTCCCCCTCCTTCTCCTCCCCCTCCTCCTCCTCCTCCTCCTCCTCCTCCTCCTCCTCCTCCTGCTCATCAGCCTCGGCCTCCTCACTCGCAAACTCTCATGGTGCTTCTAGGTGTGCTGTTTTGCTCCTCCTGTGGATCTTTTTGCGCGAAGGCCCTTGTCAAGCTTGCCGATTGCTGCCCCCCCCCGCGCCCCAGTCAAACAGGGAAGCAGTATCCGAGCAGGCTGCAGAGGGAACTCCCTGCTGAACGACTATAGGAACATCCCCGCGAGACTGAACTGTGATCTAAGGTCTGAGCTTGCACTCAGGGTTCCGGCCACCCAGACCCCGTTTCATCGCGAAACAAAACACGACGGAAGGGTTCTGGCCATCTCCGGCCTCTTGGGGCTCCTGGGGGGAAACCCTTGCCGAGCTCCAGGCCGTCAAAAGACTGCTCGGAGTAAGAAACACCCCATGGGGAAGGGGTCCAGACCTCTTTGGGCTGGCGTCGTTGAAGCAAAAAAACAAAACAAAACAAAAAAACCATAGAAGGGGAAAACTACACTGCCATCAACTTTCGATGGTCCGCGCGGACTTGCTGGGGCGACGGTCCCCCCTCCCTGGCGCGCGGATCGCGCCAGGGCGGTGCCGCCAGGGCAGTCCGGCGCAGATCCAAGAAATCTGCGCGGACCATCGGAGGTGTATATTTGTGCCGCTGCTGCTCTCCAAGTCGAGGGTCCGGAAATGCCAAGGGTGGCCAAGCATCTAGGATTAGGTCGGGCATGTCCTCCCACAGGCGATTTCTTGCAAGAAACATTGAAATAGACAAAAAAACAAAATCACATATAGTCAAAAGAGCACGACGGTCCAAGAGGGCCCCGGCGGCCAGGATGGCCCCAAGACGGCCCCAGAAGCCTCCCAGACGGCCCAGGAAGCCTCCAAGAGCATCCCCAAGAGGAGCCCACGAGGCCAAAATCGTCGAATTTCTTATGAGGAAACCTACATTTGTATCATGTGCGTTTTTTCTGCCTTCACGGCGTTGAAGACGGCCCCAGAGTACCCCGAGACTGCCCCAAAACGGCCCGACAGGCTCCCTAGAGTCGCTCGAAACGGCCCAAGAGGGCGCCAAGACGGCCCAAGAGGCTCCCAAGACGGCCCATGAGTCGGCCCAATGAGGGGCCCAAGAGGAGGAGCCTGAATCAACAATCCGAGCCTTCCGCCCCAAAACGGCCCCAGAGGGACCCAAGAGGCGCCCAACAGGGCCCATGGGGCTCCCAAGAGGCCCCCCAAGAGGACCCCAAGAGGCCCCCCAAGAGGCCCCAAGAGGCCGCCAAGAAGCTCAAAGGAAGCCCCAAGTACCAGTTGAGGCATGTAACTTCTAACCCGCAGCCCAGGCACCAAGGATCTCAGGCCGACAACCAAGGCCCGGTGGCGGGATGGGCCGAAGGCCACTACATATATCTATATATATATATATATATTATATATATATATATATATATATATATATATATATATATAAACTGCCGCGGGCATCCACCTCGATCGAGAAGAAGAAGAAGAAGAAGAGGAGAAGGACGAGGAGGAGGAAGAGGAGGAAGAGGGAAAAAAAGAGTTCATCGTCGCCGCCTATGTCGCACAGATTTCCGTGATCTTTCGACCACCCGAGGCATCTCCTCGCATTCAGCCTCCAGGAACCGTTTCCGGTGCCGGGGACCACCGCCGAAAGTCCGGGATGAGGATCGACCTCCCTGGCAGGTGCCACCCCTTCGCAGAAGAAGGAACACGGGGTGCATCGAGGCTCGAGGCATGAGACTCCTAGTTCTTGGGCGCTCTCCGTCCCCTCTGGGCCTTCAGGAAGCTCCTCGTCGACACAGCCGGGTCCACTCTCGAACTTCTGGCCGGACGCAACCCCAGTTGGGTCTCAACGATCCCTGAGCATATCCAGGAGGTGGAAAAGGAGGCCTGGGACAGGCCCCGCGAAGGCCCCAAGAAACTCACATATAGACGAGCGCGCTCCACCACTCGCAAAGTAGCTACTCGCAAATGGCCTGGATCCCCCGCGGGGGATCTAAATTACGTCAAAGCAGACATGTGTTTTGGGGACGTTTGCGAGTAGGCACTTTGCGAGTAGTGGCACGCGCTCGGTGAACATAGAAGACCACGAAAAACTTCAAACAATCCCCCACAAAGCCCCCCCTTGAACCCCACACGCTACGTTGGACAGGCCGAAACCCCAAGATTGCCCAGCGATCGCGCGCGTTCCGCGAATTCTGTCGTTCACTCCTGCTGCCGCCCCAAGGGGTCGGCGGTGCGGCGTAAGCCAATGAATCACATATAGTCAAAAGAGCACGAACATCGTCAACAGACTATTTCTTGATTATTCCTCCTGTAGAGGGACATGCCCGACACAGATCTAGGAATTCCCCTCTGGCGCCAAACCCCCTGTCCACGGGCAGGAGCGTCGACGTCGACGACGACGACGACGACGACGACGACGACGACGACGACGACGTCCTGCCACGGGTGAGCCTCCGATGGGAGAGGCACCCCCTCCCCCAAACTCCGAGGTCGCGAGTTGCTCCAGATGGGGCCCCCAGGTTGGGGCGCGAATTGATGAGAGGGGGCAAGGCATGGGGGGCAGCGAGAACTGCCTAAGAAAAAAGCCCTCTGGGGCCCCTCAAGCGGCCCTCTCGGGTCCAAAGGGGGCCCCTGGGGCCCGAGGAGGGCACCTCTCTTCCCCCCCCCCCCTTGTATCCACCTCCGCGAGAACCAGCCGCCAGCTCTGCGCTGAGCCAGCGAAACTTGAGCCGGAATGGCTGCAGAGGCAGCCACACAGCCAGCCACGAGGACGGAACGCAAGGATGCAAGGCACCCAAAGCGTGCCACGATGCCAGGCCACCCTTGGACAGGGGAAGCAAGACGCACGCCCGGGATGCCATGAAATCTGGGGAAGTATCATGCCCCCCTCCATGATATCCACCCCCCCCCTAGTCATCACCCCCCTCCTTTCCGCCCCCGAAACAGGGGAAGCAAGAGGCACGCCCGGGATGCCCAGAATCGGAGGATGCGAGAGCGATTGGCTTACAGGGCTCACCCTCAACGCCAAACTTGACTCCACCCCTCGGCGCGGCTCCGTGCACCGCGCCCGGGCCGCCCCGCACGGCCCCAGACGGGCGGGGCCTTGATCTCCGCCTGCTTCGCCAGCATGGCCTCCTGCAGCGAGCGGAGAACGATCGGACTCGGGCCAGCAGAACATCCCTCAAGGACACCATGCCCGCCGTCGGCCACAACATAGACAGCATCTGAGGGTACCCTCCCCAGGATGCACAAGGACATCCAATATACAGAGGAAGACCACCAGGGCACTCTCCCCGAACCGACCTCGATCTGATGCCTCGGTCCGGCTGCAACATCAAACAAGTCTTCTCGCCGCCAGGCACGTCTGTCTCAGGACGCTTCGAATGTTCATGCCACCCGCGGGCCGCCGTGGGGGCATAAACTGCCCAGCCGCCCCAGGACATGCGTCCCCGACGGCAGGAGAGCTTATCTTGTACCTAGAAAACGAAAAATCGCCACAAACATAAACTGTTGGCACTCCGCGAGGATTTCTTGGATCTGCGCTAGACCCCCCTCCCTGGCGCGCGGACAGCGCCAGGGGCGGCGCCGGGGGCGCCGCCGGAGGGGCCCAGCGCGGATCTAAGAAATCCGCACGGAGCACCAAAACTTTGTGTTTATGCAGTTATTTCGTCTTCGAGTACTGCTATTCGTCCGCTGTCCTGCGCCTCCTGCGCCTCCTGCGCCGCCGCAGCCGCCGCCGCGCCGCCGTCGTCCGGGCCGCCGCCGACGGCCGCGGGGCTCTCGAAGTGCGCCTTGCCACCTGCGTCGGGGGGCCAGGGGAGGGCGAGGGCAGTGGGAATGGGAGGATTCCACACGGCACGCCTGAACTTGTCAGCGGCGAGCGAGGGGGGGAAGTGAGGAGTAGAAGGCCTTCTCAGAAGGCGGCGGGACTTCTCAGAAGCCCGCGCGCCTCCTGAGAAGTGTTTCTGTCTTCGAGGAAGGCTTCGCAAACTTCTCAGAAGGCCTGGGGACTTCCGAACAGTCTGAGAAGGCCTTCTCCTTCTCACTTCCCCCCCTCGCTCGCCGCGAAACTGAGGAAGCCATTCCCGGGAGGTCTTCGCAAGAACAAGGCTACCAAGCTCGAGGCAGGGGGCACGAATCCGAATCTGACCGGATTGAGCCCGGGATCAATCGGGACTGCGCTGGATTTGGCCACATTAAGCGGGATCCAGCTGGGTGGAAAATGCCGGATTGGGTATATAGCTTTTTTTTACCATGGAGGTACCAGCGCCGATGCTAAAATCAGTTGCATCCGGAGCGGCACGCGTCCGCGAGACGACGCAAGCGTCCTCCGAGGGCCGCCCACTACTCCAGGCATGCTGAGAACACGAAACCAGAGGGCGCGCCCCGAACTGCGCCGTCCCTGGCTCCGCTGGCCCTGGCCTCCCGCCTGCGCGGTCGCCGTCGTCTGCTTGCTCCTCGCTTGTGTGCAGCAGCGTCGCCGCGCGGCACTGGCTGCCGGGAGCCAGCTGCCCGGGGCCAGCGTGCACAACCATTATGTCGGGCGTCCCCCTACAGGGGGATTGTCGACGGAAAAATACCCCAAAAATAATCCCCAGGCTATTTCTGGATTCGTTTTAAATTATTTTTGGCGTATTTTCTATTTTTCGTCGAAGCTCCCCCTGTAGGGGGACAGGCCCGACTTAACACAAACATCGAGTCTCACCCACTTCTACAGACGGCCAGCTGCCGCATCTGCTGCCAGGAGACCTGCAACCGGGCATCCACGACTGGTCAAGGCAGATCGGCGCCAACCAGCGCCCCGTTCTCGAAACCAGCGCAGCCACATCGATCAGAAGGAATGACGGCAAAGGCGAACGATACACGGCGGCAGAACTCAGCTGGTACCACAAAGCCCTCGTCATCCGAGAACGATCCATGAATCAAGCACGCGCCCTGCGCGCATGACCCGACACAATAATACGCGGATTTGGCTTGGTGGATGGTCAGTCTCGGTGGCTCTTGGCGGGCCTTCGCGAGCGGAAACGCCTGGAATGCAAACTCGGCGTGCAACCAACATGATGCGATCTAAGCCAGCGATGCGAGACAAAAACGGCATCTGAGCACAAAGTCTGACGTCAGCCCGATATCCAACAGAAGCACCGCGCGCCTCTCTCCCACACGGCCCCGCCACCTCTCAAAGGCGGCTGATGAGACGAAGGAAATCGAGGAGGTGCACAGTAGGAGTGGGCAGCTACTTGGACACTGCACCAGGAAGCTGGAACACACACCTGGCTGGAGCGCGTTTCTCTATTTCCGGCGATCATGGACATCATAGGGGGGGGAGAGAGAACGGGGCCGGGGGGGGTATAATGTGACGCCTCCCCCCCGCCGTGTGTCCGATGCGCTCGGCGGCAGTGCCCCGAGCGCACTGGGGGGGGGAGGGGCGTTACGTTATAGGGGGAGGGGGGAGGGGGGGGGGGAGGGGGCTATAATGCTCATTCTGCCCCAAGCAACAAAGAAACACGCTCCTGGATTCACATGTAGAATATCTGGGGGCCCTCTGAAGCCGAGCGAACACGGCTACAGAAGAGCCGAGCGCTGCAAAGACGTCCGGCCACATGTGCAGCAAGCGATCGCCCAGGCCAGCCGTGGCATGTGCATCCAGCTTACAGTCGGGCCTGTCCTCCTACAGGGGGATTTTGACAGAAAAAACAAAACTAGTCAACAAATACCCCCAAACGGTCAAAAAATATTCAAAAAATCGTCCCCTAACAATTTCTAACTATTTTTGAATATGCCTCCTGTAGAGGGACAGGCCCGACTGAAATCCAGCTTCCTGGCAGAAAGCCAAACCAGAACATGGAAATACCGGAACCCTATCGGATCGCGCCAGCGAGTCGACATCGAATCGGATCGATCGGAGCCGAATGGACCCTGGCTACGAATACGCTGCAAAGGAGAGGCGGGCGCCGGCGGCAGGGAGGCGGGAGGGAGAGAGGTCGCGCGCGCTCCTGCCCTTGCTGCTGCGCTGTCCCTCTGCTGGTCTCGCTGCTCTCTTCTGCTCCCTCTGCTCCTCTGTCTGCTGCCCGCTGCTCCTCTCTGCTCCCAAAGCCTCGGGTGCATCGGCCCGGGGCCGCTCGAAGGATCTGCGCGGGCCCACCCATCATCTCGCGCAGCTTGTTGTTCTCCTCCCGGAGCTGCCGGATCAGCTTGTCCTGGGGGTTCTCGTTGATCACGGCGGCGTTCTTGATGCGCTTCGCCCGATCGGCATACCTTGTGGACCGACCCCTAGTGGGCCCCGGAAACGGCAGGGCCGTGTTTTCACCGTTTCCGAAAAAAGGTCCCTTGAAAATGGAAACGGCAAGAAAAACGGCGACCGGAGACGGCAACAAAAACGGCTCCAGGACTGGAGCCGGAGCGGGAACCCGCAAAAGAATGGCAAAACGGAACCGGTAAAAAAACGGCGTCGGAACCAACAAAAAAAACGGCAAAACGGAGCCAGTAAAAAAAACGGCCCTGTCGTTTCCAGGGCCCACTGTGGACCGACCCGTACGGAAACGAGGCGCTCGAGCGAGCGTCGCATTATCGGGGCCCTCACCGGTGCCTCCGCCGATCCAGCCCTCTCCTCCTCCGACCCGGCCCGGTCCTCTTTCCTTCCCACCTTCCTATAAGCTCCCTCAAGCCTTGAATCCTCCTCTTTACCCCTCCTCCTTCTCCTCCTCCTCCTTCTTCTTCAATTTCATGCCTCCTCGTCCATGAGAATCAGAGAGATCGTGTCTGTCGCACCCACGATCGGACTCGATGTGGACACGTGAGCGCCACGGACCATGTACGCGCGCACGATGCGTCGTCAACCCGCTGAGGAGGCACATGACGAGAGTCAGCGAAACAGGCATCACACATACCTCAAGCGTTGCATCATTCTTGGACACAACAAATGGCCAAAGGCACACCCGTACACGTAGAAATCCCATCGCTGCCACTAGCATACGCTTCCCAAAAGCACAAATATTATGATAACCCTGAGAAGCCTTCAAGGCAAGTGATGATCATCACTGTTCGGGATAATTCCGATGAGCCAGAGAAGATGAAATGGTGGAAGAGGCTCACAACTCACAGCACGATGAGCAATAAAAGCGGCCGTCCTGAGGGTAGACAGGGTCTCCTCGTAGTTTGAAGACGCAGGTGATATAGCGCAGATCATAACGGTCTTGCTGGATCCACCTTTACTGCTGGTACGTCTGAATTGCCCCTTTGCCCGTTGACCGCCCAAGGCCGATTGGCCACCACCTTAACGGCTCCCCTGAACCCCTCTCCTCCCGAACTGACTCCAAGACCTTTCCCGCGTAGCACTGTTCAACTGCTGGGGAAAAGACACCTGCACCGATACTCCCTGGACCTCTTGGGGGGTGAGTTCTGACCAAGATTCTGAGGAGAATCCGGCCATGCAGACGGGGGCCCCCTTCTGAGGCCAAGAGCGGTGAGCACTGATGGAAGCTCATCGACATGGGCATGTGTTCCTCCTCTTCGTAAATCTACTTCCCTCCTCCCTGGTCTATCTGCGGGCTTCGGCTCCAGTGAGCTGGCGTCCCAGTTTCAAAGAGAGTCGCGCATGCTGCACGGAAGGCCCGTGTCCCACGCCACCCACGCCGGCGCAGTGCCCCTGCAGCCCGAAGGCGTCAAGTCCGCGACCATTCCGTAGGCACTAAGAGGAGTGCTCGTATGCCATCCCTTGTCCTAGTCCTCTGGATGGCTAATGAGAGCCCCCCCACCCATGCCACGCCTCGCAAAAGACATCCCACGCCTGCCCCCCACGCTATCCACCCCCAGCCACCCCAAGCTTTTTGGACAACTCGGCGAACTGAAGCGTCAATACTGAAGTAATACTACCCAGAAGGGCTCAAGCCTCAAAGGCTGGGCTTCCCGCGCACTCCTTCGTCTCTAATTGCGGTTCGCTGGAAGGTTCTGACCGTAAGTAAGAAAGGACCACAGAAAAGAAGTAAGGAGGAGGCAGGCAGAAGGCCCCTGGAAGTCGAGGTCGGCGTGCTCATCGGTCTGCTCGCGCGGTTTCAGCGCATGTTTTCAGCACATGGACGCTCGGTTTCATCGGGAGATGTGACACAAACCCAGACATGCGACGTCGCGATTGTGCTCACAACGAGGACCTCCCGGAGGACCCCTTCCCCGGGACCGGTGCTTCTTCCTTGGCCGTTCTCTGAAGGCCCTGGGGTCCAGCGAAGGCCCCTGTCGGGCCGAAAACGGCCAAGGACCTCCCGTCGTGATACGATCACAGCGCGAGCATGTCTGGAAACAGAGGGGAAGCACCCGACTCCCCAACTAGGTGGCCACATCCAGACCATGAGCCCCACCAGTCATCGGTTCTCTTGAATCGATGGGAAGCGAGGGTGGGGTTCGATGTTCGCCGCGTGCTCGGCGAATTCCGAGCTTTGCCCCCGCTGCCCGTCGAGTTGCCCGAATCGTTGATCGGGGAGGATCTTGCCATCTCTCGGACGTCCATTACACGTGCATGTTTTGGTGTCGTGCGTGCCAGATGATCTAATTAGGATGCTCCTCGATGGCCCTCGCCGAAGAAAAAAACACGTCCGAGCGATGCCAAGGGGTGATTAGGGCTCGGATTTCGCCGCCGCAAAACTGAGCCTCCACGGGCCCAATGTCAGGCATGGGTCTTGGGCGTGCCCCCCCCCCCGGCCGGGCCAAGGAGAGCGGAGACCCACCAGGCTCCGGGCCTGGCTGGGGCCCGTGGGGCTCTTGTGCTGAACACACACACACACACACACAAATGTCCTACAGTCGACCCGTATCATAAGGATGCGCGATAAGGATGTAAGGGCCGTGGACGCTCACTTCGAAGCTTTCCGAGCAGGGCGCGGCCAACGAAAGTGGCCAGGGATGGACCGAGTAGGCAAGAATTCAAGGGTACCCTTGGGAAGGTTGCCCATCCTTCTTGTGCGGGTCGACTTGTATCCACAGGGTGGGATGGACCGCCAGCTCGCGCTGCCCAGACACGCGCGCATCGTGGCAATAACCACGGCGGGAGGTTTTTGGCTGTGTTCGGCCTCCCGGGGCCCTCGCCAGACTCCGGGACCGTCAAAGCACGGCGCGGGATGACAAGCCGGCCAGGGGGGAAAGGGCCAGAGCTTCCGGGGACCCCGCACTGAGAAGATCAGGACGTCGCATGCCTGGGCCCCTGTTGTCTCCCACCTGGCCTTATGTTCCTCCCATCGTACTTAAGGACCACGTCCCAGAAAACATTTCGAGCACCCAGAAAAGTGCCGAAGGAGTGTCGAAACAGTGCCCGACGAGTGTCTCCCAGGGCCCGACGCGTCAAAACCCCTCGAGTTTCGGTACTTTTCCTGGCGCTCGAGATTCTTTCTGCTGATCAAGGCTAAAGTAGGTTGGAGCATCATAAACCTGGCCCCTCTCTCCCTCTCCCCTCTGCTGGCTCCTTCCCCCCCTCCTCCTCGGCCTGTTCGAAGGGGCCCAGGGACACACACACAAATAAATGCACACAAATAAAAAGATTCCCCATAATTTCCTATATTTTCTGAGCTTTTGTCTTCCTCCCCACCTCCCATATTGTCCTGTATGTTCTGGGGAGTCGACGATTAATTGTGTCTGTGTGTTTTTGTTCCCTCCTCGGCCCGTTCCTTATCTCCAGGGGCTCCACCCCGCAGCCCCTCCTCCTCGCCTTCGGTGGCAACTCGTGGGAGCCTACCATCCCATCTGGCCGGCTCTTGCGAATCGACGCGAGTCGACGCTGAATCGAGGCGAATCGAAGCCAAATCGACGCTAAATCGACGCTACATCGGCGCTATCTCGCCGACTTCCAGACGCTAATCGATGCAAATCGAGGCGAAAGACGGAATTAAGAGGGTATATCAGGCTCCCATGAGTTGCTTCAAGTCGGGCATGTCCCCCTACAGGGGGATTGTGGGCGAAGAATTAAAAATATCAAAAAAATGCCTTAAATTGCAAAAAAACAAAAAAAAAAAAAAAAAAAAAAAAAAAAAAATGCCCTATTTTTGAATTCTCCCCCTGTAGAAAAACAGGCCCGACTTCACCCTCGGTGCCCCGATCCAGGCCGCTCCTTCTCGCCCTCCGCTCCGCGCTCCTCGAGTGCTGCCGGAGGGGACGCGGGCCCGAGGCGAGCCCCGCTCCTCCAGGGAGGCGCCGGTGGCTCCCAGGGAGCCCTTGGCGAGGCCCAGCAGGACCTCCTCCTCCTCCTCCCGCCTCCCTCCTCCTCCCTCCTCCTCCCTCACCCCTCCTCCCTCCTCCTCCCTCCTCCTCCCTCCTCCCTCCTTCCTCCTCCTCCCTCCTCCTCCCCCTCCCGCCTCCTCCTCCTCCTCCCCCTCCTCCTCCCTCCTCCTCCCTCCTCCTCCTCCTCCTCCTCCTCCTCCTCCTCCTCCTCCCTCCTCCTCCTCCTCCTCCTCCTCCTCCTCCTCCTCCTCCTCCTCCTCCTCCTCCTCCTCCTCCTCCTCCTCCTCCTCCTCCTCCTCCCTCCTCCTCCTCCTCCTCCTCCTCCTCCTCCTCCTCCTCCTCCTCCTCCTCCTACATATGTTCCTCCTTGTCCTCCTCCTCCTCCTCCTCGGCGCGAAAAGCGGGGCGCATGGTGCCGCATCAGACGAAGCAAGGACGAGGACGAATTCGGGTGAGGACGAATCGATCTCTGAGGTCCAGCGGCTCTGGAGGATGTCTCCGGCGCCGCGGGCCCTCTCTGAGCGTTCCCGAACGCTCCAAGAGGGCTTCGGAACGCCCTGGAGCAGGTTCGTCCTCGTCCTGACCCCGCCCCGGCAAAGATGGATGCGGAAGGAGGCCACGACGTCGAAACCGCGACGCGACTCGGGCAGCGATGCGGTGCGAGTCAAGCCCAGGTCACCGCGGGCACTGGGCTGCGCGCGCAGTGGTGGGGGTGGGCGCGGCGGGGGCGGCCCTCCGAGACGTCCGGCAGGCACGCGGGCAGGCGGCCCAATCGAGTCGATGCTCGGCCCAGAGTCGGGCACCAGTGTTGGACCTCAGGCATCACTGTTGGAGCCCGAGTGAGAGCACGCGCGAAGTCTGCTTCGTGCTCGAGGGAGTCACTGACCGAGCTCACTTCGTAGCGTTCGCTTGCATTATACCCCTTCGCACACTTGAAAAGCCCAGGGATGTTCCTTGTGGAAGACGGGGGCATCATTGGAAGCCCGCCTGGCTTCCAAGAGAGTTTCTCAGAAGCCTCCAAGCTGACTACCTACCCGACCACCCAAGCCCAACCTGAAGACCCGAATTTCAGGTTGGGGAGGGCACGGGCATCATATCTGTTTTTCAATGGTTCCCGACCCCCCCTCCACTGGAAATGGAGGGCAAATCGGGGCCTTCGGGTTGGGTTGGGGTGGTCTGGTGGGCGGCGACAGGCATCCTAAGAAGGCTGCGAGGACCCCGCCTCCTTAGAAGGCCGCCCCCCCCTCGCGCCTCCACCGCGCGCGACGTCGCCAGGGCAAACGCCAAAGCTCCGAGGAGTAGGAGGACGAGGAGGAGGAGGAGGAGGAGGAGGAGGAGGAGGAGGATACGACGCTCACAAAGAAGTGCCGCGCACCGCGCCGAGCACCCACGTGAAGGGGGGACGGGCCCAGCGGGCCCCTCCCCGAGGCATTCCCGAGACCGCCGCCCATCCCATCCCAGGGAGCACGGCGGGCGGCGAGGAACGACGCGACGGCGGCGGCGGCGGCGGACGTCGGGAGTCCTCGAACTCGCCAGCGGGGGAGGGGGGCGCGGGCGCCGCGCGCGCGCGCCCCGCCGACCGCCGACCCCCAGGACGAGGGAAAATTATAGCCCTGGATAAGATGAAATCACCACTCCATCCTCCTCCTCCTCCTCCTCGTCCTCCCCCTCCTCCTCCCCCTCCTCCTCCTCCTCCTCCTCCTCCTCCTCCTCCTCCTCCTCCTCCTCCTCCTCCTCCTCCTCCTCCTAGAGACGCAGCCACGTGACCTCGGGATCGGTGGCGACGAGGGGGGCGAGGGGTGGGGATCCGTCTGCCGTCGCTCCGCCCTGCGTCGGCGGGATGGCGGCCTGGTAGGAAAAAAAAAAACTAGCGAGTCTTTGCAGCAGGTTCCGACATCGCCTGCGGGAGCTCACATTCAACAAGGAGGTGATTGGCCACCGCACAGGCGGCGAAAAACCTGCAACGAATGCAAAGTACGGCCTGGCCAGGAGAGGCCCCGCACCGATGGCCGCGACACGTGAGAGGCCCAACAGCTCCCGAAGTCGGCAGTGGCGCCGCAGGAGGCCTGACGGAAGAGAGCGGGACTCGGCCGACAAGCCGAGCTCGCTTGGGCGGTGGAGCCTGAACGGTGGCGACAGCCTGCTGCAAAGCGTCCCCATCGGGCGCGCGGACCTGCTGAATCGGGACCCCCCCCCACGCCGAGGCCGGCCCCAGGGGCCCCCTGGACGTTTGAGCCGAGCTTTCTCCCCACCAGCCCCAGGAGGGCCAGGGAGGGGGCCCGCGGGGCCACGCTCGTCACAGGGGGCCCCGACAGCACGACGCCCTGGGAACCCCCGCCGAGCCCTCCGAGGCCCCCCGCCCCCCCAGGGGGGCCAGGCCGACCGCGGGAGAGCTCGCCATCGGACGCCCGAGCCACCCCCGCGATCCGAGACAGCCCGAGCGAAACGCGAAACGCGACTCAAGCGATCCCGGATCTTCTGGACACTCGCGCCTGCCATGCAAAACCAACACCTCCATATATATATATATATATATATATATATATACACACACATCTATCTGTATACACATATATGTATATATATGCTGGCCCGGGACACGGGTGAACACGTGCCTCCACTGAGGAGCGGGGAGAGGATCAGGAGGATAGGGGGGGGGGCCCTGCTGACCTCAGGCGCCTTGCGCCGTCTCCGTCGACATGCGCCATTCCGCCACTTCAAGACCTGACGGGCCGACCTCGGAGCAATCTGCATCGCTTGGGAATGGCGTCGGGGAACCGCATGGATGGCACGCCCAGTGGTAGCCGCAACAACATCAGCCAATCGGCCCCCTTCCACATGCGCGCCATCACCGTGCCGGCATGCACGGATCTGCTCAACTGCCAAAGTCTCTCCAAGACCTCCCGAGTCCCCGGCCCCGGCCCATATGAGCTCCCAGATGTTTAAATTAGAGCGCCCAGGATGGCGGCGCCATTGAAGCCCCCAGGCGATGCCTTTGATGAGCCCTTTACAATCAGTATACACAGCGAGGGGAAGCACGGCCATCTGCAAAACAGGGAGGAATGCATGCATCTCAGCTCATGGGGAGGACTGAACTGGCCCAGGAAGAGCCCCATAAGCCAGCGCATCGATCCTGCCATTCACCCCGCTCTGGCCGCTTCGGCCATGCCAGAAACGCTTGCAGGCCCCATCAGTGTAGACACCCCAGTAATCACGTCCACTTGTTCCTAGCGAACTCGCCAGGCACCTTATTCATACTTTTGCGGCAGCGGCGGGGAACAACTCCTTGGGCAGAGTCCTCTGCCCCAAAACCACGAGCCAACTTCTCTGGGCGGCAGTCCTCGATCGTCGAGGCTCGACACTGCTGCAGAGCGAGCATCAGCTGTGCCAGGACAGCGCCACATGATGCGATTCGAGCTGCAATGGAGGGTCGGGCGGTCGAAACACTTGGCATTGCGGCGCACTTGCAAAACTTAAATCCGGAAGGAGACCACATGCCTCCTCAGACAAAAGCACGAGGTAGCGCTGCTGCATTGAGCGCACGGGGCCCAAGTAGATCCACGACGAGGCGCTTCTTCGGGCTCCCCTGAAACAGCGTCTTCTGGCCCTTCCAATCCACGCCCTCCCCCCTCCCCACTTCCGCCCTCGTTCTCGAAAAAAACCCTCTGGCATCGCTCAGGAAGGCCCGCGATAGGCTCAATCCACTGCCCCGGGGGCCCCTCGGGGGCCACGGCGAGGTCATCGGCGGGGCTGGGCCTCTCGGCCCATTGTTCCCAGAGCCTGCGAAGGGACGAGGCGTGGCCTACTTCCTCGACCGCGGGGGCAGCAGCAGAGCGAAAGTCGAGCACCTGCCCGCAGTCTGTCCTGAAGCAGAACAGAAAGCGGACGAGGCAGTCCATCAGATAGTATGAATTGAAAGCAACATGGCACCTGCAACCCCCGATGCCTGAGCCCGCGGACGACCAGACCGGCGCGCCTTCTCGGCCTGAACCTGCCATGCTCCCTGAATGACTGGGCGAGGAAGAACCTGATCACTGGTCTGCAACGCACACTGGTGCATGGACACGACCCACGCCCGCGTCTGAGGACCGAGTACAGATTACCCTGCAGACAGCCGGCACTACAAGCAGAGCTGGAGGAGCTGGCGCCAGGCGCACGCCAGACCGACCGACGCACAGAGCGCATCCTCGAAACCAACTGCGGCGGCGCTCCACGCACTCCGAGTCCGAAGCCCGTGGCCGACGGGAGAGCCTGCCTAACAAATCTGCACACCAGGGGGCCGACACGACGAACTTGCTTCAATCTCGGGATCTTCGAAGCAGTGACCGATGCCATCTGGCGCAGCCGACTGCACTTGATGGGCCTTCCCGAGGCCAGCTCGATCCCCAGAACCTCTGGGTCGCTCTTGCACCTGTATCCCCGAGCCCCCAGCCTCGAACATATACGACGACCAATGCTAGCTATACTGCGCGCGATCGTTATCTGACGTTTAGCAGGTGGCAGACCTAGATCACGAAGCATACGAGCAAGCAATCGTAGCACTCTACACGATGATGACACGATAGTCTTCAGCGCAGCCACGATAGCGACGGCAACGTCGTCAGCATATATGTCGAGCGCCCTATCTATCAGCTGCGTATGCTGGTAGAACGAGTCGAACGGGGCAAACATGACGCGCTGCACACAGAACATGGCGACATCACATCCAGGCAATATGCGCCCACAAGTAGACGTCATCCAACCGTACCAGAACACTTTTCAATGTCGGCGACGCCGCGCACCGCGACGGGCGAGGCAGGGTCGAGGGCGCACGCTCCAGCGGCCTCCGTCTGGACAGGCACTCGCGCGGCCACGTCCGTCGTCGATTCACCTGCACCCAACGCCAGATAAGATCGATTGAGCCTGCTGGCCCATCCCCGAACATGGCCCATCCGTGCTTTTGCCCAGAGACGATAAATGGACGCAAGCATTACCATCGGCCGATGCCCGCCTGCAGGCTTCGCCAACAGAATGACAGGGACCTCAGACAACGGTCGCGGCCACACGCCCCAAGACTCGGCCAGGAACGGGAGGTGTCCCGTGACGGACAGGGCTGCATTAAAAACGCACCCCCAATGCCGAGGCCGAAACAGGACAGCCCCGGCTGCAGTCCGCCGCGGAAACTGCAGAGCCGCAGCGCGCAGCCCCCCGTAGACAGAGGCGGAAGACGCGGGCCTGACAACGGCAAGTCTGCGAGGCCCCCCGAAGAGCCCACCCTCATCATCACCCATGAGACCCCCATATACGAAATATTCAGGTTGATCTATACAGATACCTGCCCAAGACACCCGGAGAGCATCCGCAGTGCCCCCAGGGAAGCTAGAAGGCCCAGCGCTGGCACATGCTTGCACGAGCGTCCACCCGCGAGGCTTGGACCACTTGTGCGCGGGCCCAGGCGCCCTGATCAAGTGACGCCCCATTCGAGAAACAACAGACATCGAGCGGGCTCATGCTCATCCAAGTCGTCTACCTCCTGCTCAGCCAGCCGACCGAGGAAGGTGCCCACACAGCTAAGCATGTCCTGGTGAATTTGCACCTGCGTGCACGCCTGACGAATGATATACACAACATCCTCGGGCACACGTCGTGGAAGCGCCCGCCTGAGCCTGCCATCTGTACCACGCGCACCAACAACATCACCAACATGCTGCCAGGCCCGAGTCCGTATATGCGCGCGCGGGTGCTGCGTCACGATCACATCACGCACCTCGAGCTGCAATGCGCGCAGAGCTCGGGCGTAGTTGGCAGCAGCGGGCTTGCACCTAGCGAATGCGCCTCCCGCTGCCGAGTAGCGATAGCTCCCACCATTCGATTTGCCAACAAACCGATCGGTCTGCTCAAATCTGAACAGCGGCAAAAGCTCAACCTCAGCGCCATCATAAATAGACAGACATAGCATGTCAAGCCTCATCCCCTGGTCATCGGGGACGCCAAAACCAACCTGCGCGTCGTCTTTCACAGGTCTGTCCAGGAAAAATTGCACTCACCTCTGACAGCGTCAATTTGAAACTTATCATCGCCGTCATCAGCGACTCCATCGCTGACCTTGGCCGCAGCCATATGCGGATACACAGGTGGTCCCTCAAGCCGTCGGACTCGCTGGGCCCGAGGACGCGGGCCAACCGTGACTTGGATGGGATAGTGGCTCCGGGGTGGGAAGCCGCCTACAACACGGGCGTCATCCATGACTGCCCCGAGCCCGTCCGAGGCCATAAAGTAGTCAATCTGCGTGGCGTACCCTGTCTTCGGGTCTCTGTAGGTGCCGTCCGAGGGGGTGACGAAGGTCCCTCGAAGTCGCTCGTGGAGCCTGCTGGCAGCAACTTTGCCCCGCGACATGCTCCGATCCTCTCCAACGATGAATGGCGAACGGTAACGATGAATGGCGAACGGTAGTAGGAAGAACACTTGCCCAATTGACGAATATTGTCAGAACTGCTGCCTCCTAGGAGCTCGCCCTGGGCCATGTAGCGCGAGACCGCTATGAAGCCACGACGGGGCCCCATATGTATGTAAACAGCAACTCCATGCCCGGGAGTCAGAACATGACCATCAAAAAACCCATCCAGCATAGTGACGCCGACGTTGGCCTTCACAATGGCGCCCGATCCTGCCGAGCATCTGCCTCCAGTTCCCGCGATCGCATCTGTGAAAAACGGCTTCCGCCCACGATTTGCACGATGCTCTTCAGCTGACCGCCTCGCGTGTCCACTGGGATGGTGCTCCTGCAGGCATGCGACTGAGAGGCGCTTGGCGTGATCCATCGAGTCCTGGACCTGGCAGGTGTGGAGGGTGAGGCAAGATGCCGGTGCGAAGCACGGTCTTACACCCCACCAGAGCACACCTCAGGCCTCACCAGAAACGGCGGCGAGACAACGATCGTAATGTGGACGAGAGTCCTGGACCTGCGGCCACCCCGCCCCATCGAAGGTGGCAAAGTAAAGCTGTTCTCCTCTGCCCCTACGCGGAGCACGCCGACGAGGAGGAGGGATGTGCGGGGCAAATTCGCCGCCCGATGACCTCTCATCCCTTGATAGACCCTGCTCAACTGGCGTGCAACTTGAAGTTGCAACTGAGGCCGTCGGAATGCCTGAATCCTGAACAGAGAACAGCCTCTCACCAATCTCCCTGCCCGATGCTCAGACGCCGAAGGAGGAAACGTCTGTCCGCCCCTTCCGAAACGAGTAACTGAGATAAGCTGGTCCAGTGTGAGATCGTCCAAGCTGCGAACTTCTCCCTGGAACAGCCGCTGCAGATGAGAAGCCACATGAGAAACAATCGTCAGCCATGGCGCCTTCAGATTCGGGGTCGTTGACTCCTGCCGAACCCCCATCAGCGCCACGTGGATGAGGAGCAGGAGCAGGGACCCTCTGCGACTGCTTGTGCTGCTCAAAAGCCGTCTGAAGCTCTCCGAAGTGAGTGGGCCGCGCGGAGAAAGCCGTAGCTCGGTTGCCCGCCAGCACAGCGGATGGGACGCCCTGAACAACCTGCTGGAGCCGCTGAAGCGCCTCTGCCACGTCACCTGCGCGTGCTGCTGCCACTCTCGAAACCATGACCACGGACCTCGCAGTAGTGACCTCGAGCTGGATGTTGGACAACTCCTCTTGAGAAGCAGCCGATTCAGCAGCCTTGTCCTCATATTGTTGCTTGAGGTCTTTGACTGTCGTGCATCATCATCATCATCATCATCATCATCATCATCATCATCATCACCATCATCATCATCATCATCATCATCATCATCATCATCATCATCATCATCAGCATCATCATCACCATCACCATCATCAGTATCACCATCACCCTCATCATCATCACCATCATCATCAGCAGCATCATCATCATCATCATCATCACCATCATCATCATCATCATCATCATCATCGTCATCATCATCATCATCATCATCATCATCATCATCATCATCATCATCATCATCATCATCATCATCATCATCATCATCATCATCATGCTCCTCCTCCTCTTCCTCCTCCACCTCCTGCTTGTCCTCCTCCCCCACTGTCGAACCCCACGGGCCCGGTCCCTCGGCCACCAAGGGCGTTCTGGAGCAGCCGCGTGAGCTTGGAGTCGCGGTACGGGATCACCACGTTGGGCTTCGCCTGTGCAGCCAAGGGGGGCTGTTCACGATGAGGTGCGAGGCAGGCGCCGAGACAAAAGGCACAGAGCAGCTGCATATTATTTTTACGTCGGCGGCTAGGCAGGAGAACTGCGCTAGCGGGGAGGGCTACCTGAACGGGAGTGCCGTTGTAGCGAGCTGTGCCACCATGCAGGAGGAGGGGACAATTCAGAGGCAACGGCCGAAAGAGCGGGCGGGAGGGGAGCGAGGCAGGTGAAACTGCATAAGCATACACCCCTCGGAGGTCCGCGCGAACTTCTTGGGTCGGCGCTAGACCACCCTCCCCCTGGTGCGCGGAGCGCGCCGGGGGCGGCGACGGAGGCGCCGCCAGGGGGTGTCCAGCGCCGACCCCCACGAAATCCGAGCAGACCTCCAAAAGTTTGAGTATGCCCCTGTGTTTGTCGTGAGGAAGGGCTGTGGCACAAATCCGAGTATTGTCACGCTACGAATGCGTTCTTTTGAAACCTGCGTGCTACTCGACAGCCCCGTTCCCTTTCAGCTTGTGAGCTTCACTGGCAACACGGGTATCCGCCGGCCCCCTTGTGGGGCCACCAGGCTGTAGGCCAAAGGTTCGCAGTTTCCTGTACCAGTTGCAGCTTCCAGTTTCCACTGTTACAGTTCTGCTTCTTGCTGCTTACTGTTCCTTGTTGATGGGCCGCTCGAGGGGGGGGGGAGGCCCAAACGGGCAGGTTTAGCACGCCCTGAGCGTGTTGTCTGAATTGCTGGGGTGGGTAAAAATTGACACCCCTCACGCAGATCGGCGGGGTCAGGGACCAAAAACACATGGGTCTTGTCACATTTCTGGTATTCGGCAACACACCCGCACGCAGATCGGCGGGGTCAGGGTGCAAAAACACACAGGATTTGCCATATTTTTCAAAAATTCGCTAGCACCCCTCACGCAGATCGGCGGGGTCAGGGTCCAAAAACACAAAGGATTTGCCACATTGCTGAAATTCGGTAGCACCCCTCACGCAGATCGGCGGGGTCAGGGACCAAAAACACCGAGGATTTGCCACATCTTGCAAAATTCGGTGGCACCCCTCACGCAGATCGGCGGGGTCAGGGACCGAAAACCCACGGGATTTGCCACATTTCTGAAATTGGGTAGCACCCCTCACGCAGATCGGCGGGGTCAGGGACCAAAAACACTGAGGATTTGCCACATCTTGCAAAATTCGGTGGCACCCCTCACACAGATCGGCGGGGTCAGGGTCTAAAAAACACAACGGATTTGCCACATTTCTGAAATTCGGTAGCACCCCTCACACAGATCGGCGGGGTCAGGGTCCAAAAACTCAAGAGATTTACCACATGACTGAAATTCGGCAACACACCCTCACGCAAATCAGCGGGGTCAGGGTCCAAAAACACATGGGATTTGCAACATTCCTGAAATTCGGTTGCGCCCCTCACGCAAATCGGCGGAGCCAGGGTCGAAAAACAAACAGGTCCCGACACTGCTTCACGGCGGCGCCCAGACCTCATGATTTAGCTTTTGCATCTCCCATTATCCGAGGAAGGGGGCCGGCGGCATGGGCGAAGCCCTTACGGATATCGGGGACCTGCAGGAATTACGTGTATTGAGCATTTGCGGCGCCCCTCCCAGTGTTACTGGTCATGAGCTGGTAGACTTCAGCTTCTTCTCTTGGATTCGGTCTTCTCTCGGCTCCTCGCCCCGTCGACCAACCTCCAAGCGCTGTCGTAGGTGTGCGCGCCTAGGTCTTGGGGAACGTGTCCATGGATCAGCTCCCGCGACCAAGAAAGCAGGAGGGGCCCAACTCTCGAACAAGACGTCCTCGCGTGAGACACACGCAGCACCCACGGGGAATGTGAGAGGGGCTGACGCCGCCGGCAACGAGTACTCGTCCGCGTTCATGCTGATGTGGGAGCGGGAGGACACCACGCAGACATAAACATTGCAGCAGGGCACCTCACGCGGCGCGGGCGGAGTCACCCTCCGCGAGCTCGCCCTCGCGAGACCTGCCGCTCGTCGCGTCGCGCAGGCCCTCTGGCGCTTCTGCGCGCAGGAACGCCGCGATCGGCAGGAAGGGAGACCGCGCCTCGGGCACGATGGTGTACGTGAAGCTCTCTGGCAGGCGACCACCGCTGTCGCCCACCACCGCGAAGTGCAGCAGCGTGCGCCGGCCTGCGGACAGGTTCGCCCCGCCCCGGTGGAAGCTGGCGGCATCCATCACCACCTCGGCGGCGCGAGCACGAGCGGGTGGCGCACGGCCGGCACGAGGGGGGCTGCCCGCTGAGGAGGCCGGGGGCTTCTCAGAGGGCAGGGGCCCTCCAAGAAGGGCCCCCGGGGTTCTGAGGAGGCTCCTTGGAGGCCGGAATGGCTTCTGGGAGGGCCCCTGCCTTCTTGAGAAGCCCCTCCGCCTTCGGACGAAGAACGGTATCACATAGTTTGTTCCGCCGTCGGGGAGGCTTGTCCTGGGGCGGCCGGAGAGTTCATACCCCTACAGAGGCACCAAAAAGGTATAAACTTCCCGACCGCACTGTGACAGGCGTCCCCGATGGTGAAAAGGCAGATACTACAGTCGGACCCAGGACAGGAGAACATCCCTCAAGAGCATGAGAACCTCCGTCGGCCAAAATACGCAGAACATCCAAAGGTACCCTTTCCAGGATGCACAAGAACATCCAACACGCACGAAGAACACGAGGGTACCCTCCCCGAACCGACCTCGATCGGAGGTTGGGGGGTGAGTCCGACGTGAAACGGAGAACCCCCCTACCGGGAAATCGATTTCGGTTTCGGGTTCGCGTCGTGCGTGCCGTGCGTGCGTGCGTGCGGGCGAGGCGAAGCTGCGTGGGCGGGCGAGAGGAAATCCTCCTGTGGCTGGGCCGCGGCCGGACCAAATGATTCTTCTCCGGCGGCCAGTGGCCCGCGGTGTCCCGCCGGTGTACCGCTGGTGTCCCGAGATCCTCCTGTGGCTGGGCCGCGGCCAGACCGGGCCGCGGCCGGACCAGCAGTCTCTCCACCCGGCAAACGGTGCCCCGCGGTGTCCCGCTAGTGTCCCGCTGGTGTCCCGCCGTGGCTGCGGTGAGCTATCCAATGCAAGTCTACATGCAAACCGACATGCAAACCGAAAAGCACATCGAAATGCAAATCGACATGCACATCCAAATGCAAATCGTAAGGCGCCGTGGGTTGCGTATTTACAAAAATCGGCGCCTGCGGCGAGCTTTCCAATGCAAGTCGACATGCAAATCGAGATGCAGATCGACAGTCACCACTGCTGCCCATTGCTGCCCCCCCAAACCTCCTTATCACCCGCAGGCCGGTCGTATAGGTATCTTATACCTCGGTCCGACTGTATGCCGCCCTTCGTCCGCTAACAGAAGAAGGGCACCCCCCTCGCGCCCCTCGCGAAATGGGGACAGAGAAAGCACGGAACGATGACCAACAGCAAAGCTTGTCCAAAACCGAGCAACGGCCGCTGCTGGGCAGGTGGTGCTTGTCCCAATGGACATCGTTCGCGGCGCCGCCGACAGCGGGGCCTGCTCAGAATGGGCGGGAACTGCTGGTCCTCGTCCCCATACCTTCCGTTCCCATTCCGATCGCACCAGTTGCAGCAGTGCCCCAAGGGGGCCCCGAGACGGTCCAAGGGGGTCCCCAATCGCAAAACGATCGGTCCAGAACGCCTTCACGCCCTCCAGGCTGCCCAGGAGGCCTGCAGGACGCCCCAAGAGCACTCCCGAGAGGGCCCCAAGAGGCCAAGTTCATTGATTTTCCGTTGGATTGTTCAAAGACTTGGGCGTGAGGAACAAAAAACTGAATAAAGACAGACTTTCCGAAACACCCGTTCGCACTTCGTGGATCGGCGCCAACCGCCCCCCCTCGTCGGGGAGGGGGATCGCGCACGAAGTCCAATTAATCCGCACGGATCTCCGAAGTATCCCGGCAAAGCAACCTAACAGCGATGTGTAGGAGCATATCTGGAAGCATTCCCCTTAAGATTCAGATGAGAATCCAGTTGTAGAATTCTGCTGTTCTCGCAGTCGTAGTCGCATTCGCGATGACAGTCTCAGTGGCAACGGCAGTCGCAGTCACAGCCTCAGCCTCAGCCTGCCTCAGCCTCAGCCTCAGCCTGCCTCAGCCTCAGCCTGCCTCAGCCTCAGCCTCAGCCTGCTTCAGCCTCAGAATCAGTCTGCCTTCAGCCTCGGCCTCAGCCTCAGCCTGCCTCAGCCTCACCCTGCATCAGCCTCAGCCTCAGCCTCAGCCTGCCTCAGCATCAGCCTGCCTCAGCCTCAGCCTCAGCCTGCCTCTGCCTCAGCCTCAGCCTGCTTCAGCCTCAGCCTCAGTCTGCCTTCAGCCTCGGCCTCAGCCTCAGCCTGCCTCAGCCTCAGCCTGCATCAGCCTCAGCCTCAGCCTCAGCCTGCCTCAGCATCAGCCTGCCTCAGCCTCAGCCTCAGCCTGCCTCTGCCTCTCAGCCTCAGCCTGCTTCAGCCTCAGCCTCAGTCTGCCTTCAGCCTCGGCCTCAGCCTCAGCCTGCCTCAGCCTCAGCCTGCATCAGCCTCAGCCTCAGCCTCAGCCTCAGCCTCAGCCTCAGCCTCAGCCTCAGCCTCAGCCTCAGCCTCAGCCTCAGCCTCAGCCTCAGCCTGCCTCAGCCTCAGCCTCAGCCTGCTTCAGCCTCAGCCTCAGTCTGCCTTCAGCCTCGGCCTCAGCCTCAGCCTGCCTCAGCCTCAGCCTGCCTCATCAGCCTCAGCCTCAGCCTCAGCCTGCCTCAGCATCAGCCTGCCTCAGCCTCAGCCTCAGCCTGCCTCAGCCTCAGCCTCAGCCTGCTTCAGCCTCAGCCTCAGTGCCTGCCTTCAGCCTCAGCCTGCCTCAGCCTCAGCCTCAGCCTCAGCAGCATCAGCCTGCCTCAGCCTCAGCCTCAGCCTGCCTCAGCCTCAGCCTCAGCCTGCTTCAGCCTCAGCCTCAGTCTGCCTTCAGCCTCGGCCTCAGCCTCGGCCTGCCTCAGCCTCAGCATCAGCCTGCCTCAGCATCAGCCTGGCCCGGGAATGGAGCTCTGGGAACTCGAAGAACACGAAGTGGCCTACAGCTTGCTCCGGGCATTCAAAATCATGCCCACGAAGTGGCCTACAGTTGGCTCTGGGCATTCAAAATCATGCCCAGGAATGGAGTTCTGGGAACTCGAAGACCACGAAGTGGCCTACAGTTGGCTCCGGGCATTCAATATCATGCCCAGGAATGGAGTTCTGGGAACTCGAAGAACACGAAGTGGCCTACAGTTGGCTCCGGGCATTCAAAATCATGCCCAGGAATGGAGTTCTGGGAACTCTAAGACCACGAAGTGCGTTACTGTTGGCTAAAAAAGGAGTCCCCGGATCACGTCCGGCATCTGCCCAGACCCCCCTGGGGAGTCATGATGCTCTCTTTTGAGACCACTAGAAACCTATCAGTCTTCGCTGTTAGGTAAAATGAATTTGTTTGTCCTGTTGGAGGATCTCCGAGAATGTTGCCGGTTCCCATGAGCGACTTGCTGACTACTTCCGCCGAAATGGCGGTGCAGCTCGCAAGTGGGAGCTGGCAGTCAAGGCATGGGCGGCCTGCTGAAGGCATCCGCGGTCGCGCACGTTTCACGTATTGCTCACGCGCTGTGGCTGGCGCCAGGCTTTTTCACCGCAACGCACCAGATCTCTCCAGGGGTGCACTCCGACCAGAACCTCGAGGCGAATCCAGCCGTGGCGACCACGGCCCTCCAGGACGAGCACCAGCATCGGTAGCTTTCCCTCCTCGACACTATCTAGAGGCCTCCTGGGTGGGCTCCGGGTAAAGAGGGTCGGAGGATCGCGCCGCATCGCCAATGCATCGCCGATGCATCGGCGACGTTGGCGATGCATCGGCGCCGCCGGCGTGGAGGAAACAGGGCCCCACGTCGAGCCGCACCTACGATCCCATCTGCTCGGACCCCACCTCGGAGGCCTAGACCATCTCCCGGATCTCTCCAGGGGCGCGCTCTGACGAGAATCGGGTTGACCCAGAAGGGGTCCCAGCGACAAGGGGGTGGTGCAATAGATGTGTGGGGTTGCAGTACATGCTGGGCGTGCAGTACATTCTGGGGCGCAGATGTGTTGCTGGATTTTCGCGCGGAATACATTAGTTGCAATACAATGCAATGGAATTCTCCGGCGCAGTGCCTTTGCGGGATACACTTGCCCCGAATCTTCTTGCACCACCCCCTTTCGGCTGGACCCCCTTCTGGGCCACCCCGAGAGGATCTCGAGGCGAGTCCCGCCGTGGCCACGAGGGCTCTCCAGGACGAGATCTCTTCCAGTCCTCTGAGTGCCGTTGACGACCCCAGCGCGCCCTCCCGAAGCTCTGCTCAGCGCCCCTCAAACGGGGACTCCACTAACGGGTACTTTGGCCACTGACCAGCGAACCCAACCCTTCCCGATGTGGGCAAAGCTGCAATGCAAGAAAAAGGCCCTAAAGTGGCAACTTTCGGCAAGAATTCAAAATACCCGTCAGTAAGTACCCGTTACGGTGCCGTTGATCTGCGCGCGCCGCCCGGCCACCGCCTCCCCCACGCCCAGCGACAGGCGCTCGGCGGCGGCCGGCGCCAGCCGGCACGCCGCCGCCGCGAGCTCGGCGGGGCTCACCGGGGCGGGCCCCCGCGCGCGCCTGGCCAGGGGGCGGCCGAGAAGGGGAGCAGTGAGCAGCAGGGCGGCGGGGGCAGAGCCAAACCTCCGGCGCGATACGACAGCAGGCCTCGGCCTGCATCGTGCGCCGCGAGGGTGCCGCAGGGCGGGGACGGAGCACCCTGCAGAATTGCCAGCGAGAGCGGCACAGCTGCAGCAGTAGTGAGACCGTGCATGACGAGTAAGATTAACCTGCATGGCCTGCGCAAGAGGCAGACTTCGGCGGGGGCACAAGGCCCAGCCAGACTTAGGTCGGGCATGTCACCCTGCAGTGGGAGTTTGGACGAAAGGTCAAAGATACTCAAAAAATACCCCAAACTAATCAAAACTCATAGAAAAATCGCCCCCAGACCATTCTTTACACCATTTTTGAGTATCCCCCCTGTAGAGGGACAGGCCCACCTTGAGGCCAGACCCCCCTCGCTTCGCGACAGCATCGAAACGGGGGGGATTCTTTCTCCATGTTCGGCCCCTGGTGGCCCTCGCAGGGCCCCGGGACCGTCGAACAACAATCGGGGATCTTCTGACCTGGGTCAATCCAGACCCGGGTCAGCAGAAAACCAAAAACTGCAATGCAGGAAAACAAAAACTGCAACGCAGGTCTTCGCAAACCCGGGTCAGCCAATAGGCGCGGCCGCCTCGCGGCCACGAGCGGCTCCCTAACCCGGGTCAGCCAGAGGGGGTCTTCGCAGGATCCTGCAGGATCTGGTGCCCTGGCTGACCCCCGTTTGCGTTGACCCCCGTCTCGAAGCTCCCGAAACAACGCGGTATGGAGACCTCTGGGGCTCCGCGCTGCGAAAGCATCGCGACGCCGGGGGAGCGAAGAGATGCGGCCAGCCCCGGCGGCGAGGCCTCGGGCGGCGCGCCGACGGCTCCTCCAGGGTAGCTCCCGCTGGCCTCAGCGGGCCTCCGGCGGCGCCCCTGGGGCGCTACGCGTCCCAGGGCAGGAGGAGGAGGAGGGGGAGGAGAAGGAGGAGGAGGAGGAGGAGGAGGAGGAGGAGGGGGAGGAGGAGGAGGGGGAGGAGGAGGAGGGGGAGGAGGAGGAGGAGGAGGAGGGGGAGGAGGAGGGAGGAGGAGGAGGAGGGGGGGCTGTCTGCGCGCAACCCAAAGCCCTACCAAGGGCGGGCATCACACGTGCGTGTCCCTCTGGGAGCCTCGTCGAAGGCACGGGCGATCAGAGCCCCTGGGCTACTGCCCGCCCCTGTTGCAACCGCCGAGCATCGAGGAGGTCGGCCAACCAGTGACATGCAGCTGGCTTTCCTGGCGCCTCCTGGCGCCTCAGCCGCCCGCATGTCGAGGAATGCGCCTGGTGACGGCGGGGTCGAAACCAGCTGCACGCACCAGATTTCGTACCTCCCCCTTCTATGCGACCACCTGCGAACCCAATTTACCCCCGCGGGTCCGGCCGACACCGGGGTATCGGACACCCCCACTAGGGTTCGCGTGGCTGCAGACATCCTTCAGGTCCTGAGCCCCAGTCGATTTTTCGGAAATGTGATCTGCAGGCGACAACAGAATACTAAACGACTGCCTCGACACAAAAAGTCGGAGGTCTGCGCGGCGTTCGAGCTCCAACACTTCGTCGACGACGCGCTCTTCTTCGACACAGGAGCAGGGCTCACAGGTGGCCGCCTCCTCCCAGATCCCGCCCCACCCGCTTCGTCCGCCCCTGGCTTCGACGGCGGGCGGCGCTGGGAGCGGCCGCGCGTGCCAGCGCCGCGCAGCGCGGCCATGTGGAAATCCCGCGTGTGCGTCCCCGGCAGCACCTCCGTGGGCCCCGAGTCCTCGCCCACCTCGTGCAGGGCGACGAAGACGCAGCAGATGCGCGCGGCCCTCTCGTCCGCCCCGCAGAGGTCCACGTCCGCGTGCCAGGTCTGCGCGCCGGCGCCCGCGCACGACGTCACGGCCCCGAACTCGACGAGGCGCACGCGCCGCTGCGCCGCCTCGCTGTCATTGGTCGGAGCAGGGCGAGCCTGGAGACCAGGGCGGCTCAACATCGGCCCGCAGTAGGGGAACAAAAAATGGCATAAACATAAAAACTCGGAGGTCCGCGCTGATTTCCCGGATCGGCGCTGGGGCCCGCTGGCGGCGCCTTCGGCGCCGCCCCTGGCGCGCTCCGCGCGCCAGGGAGGGGGGTCCAGCGCCGATCCGAGAAATCCGCGCGGATCTCCGAGTTTTTATGTTTATGTCACTTGTTGTTCCCCTACCCAGGGACCCCATCCGGGGGCTATGAACGCACCGGTGGTCCGAGCTGCGTCCGGTCGTGGCGGGGCCCCCCGAAGGCCAACGCTTTCCCATTCGGCGTTTTCGGCATTGGGCGGAAGGGGGGCAGGAGGGGTGGGGGGGTCTGGCTCCGGGCCTCTGCTCCGTGCGACTGTTTGGAGCCGTGCGTCCTGTGGGGGAGACTCCGCCTGGCCCGAAACAGGCGCCAAAAGCATCCAGGACCTGCTCCCTGGAGGGGGGGGAGGGGGAGGGGGGGTGCGAGGGCCCGCGCCGATCGGGGGAACGACGCATGAGAAAACGACCACGAGGCCAACTGCCGTTGTCTCGACTCGCCCTCCTCCAAGCTGGTCTTAGGCCGGGCCTGTCCCCCTACAAGGGGGCTTTTGGAAGAAAAATGAAAAATACTCGAAGAAAGATGCAAAAGATGCCCAAACATACTCAAAAACCAATCCCCATACTGTTTTTTGACTATTTTTGCAGATCCTCCCTGTAGCTTAGCTTTAGCTTAGCTTTAGCTTAGCGTTACTATTACTACTAATGCTGCTTTCCTAGGGGTTCCAACTCCTAGGTAGGGTCGCACTGGGATAATGTTTGACTATGTTTGAAGATCCTCCCTGTAGAGGGACGGGCCCGACGGAAAGCCGCTCCGCTCCGCTGCCGGCGAGCGCGGCGCTCAGCAGCGGCCCGAGCCGCAGCAGGGCCTGCCGCAGGGCCGCGCGCGCGGGGGGCGTCAGCTCCACGGCCAGGTCGTAGCGGAGCCTGCCGCTGTGGATCGGCGCGAGCCTGCCCAGCGCGTCCTCGGGGCTGCACGCAGGGAGTGCCCCTCCCTCCTCCTCCTCCTCCTCCTCCCCCTACTCCTCCTCCTCCTCCCTCCTCCCCCTCCTTCTTCCTCCTTCTTCCTCCTCCTCCTCCCCCTCCTCCTCCTCCCCCTCCTCCTCCTCCTCCTCCTCCTCCTCCTCCTCCTCCTCCTCCTTGGCAGGAGGGACCTTCTGTGCGCGGCCTCCGGGCTCACATCAGAGCATGGGGTCACAACCACTCAGGACACCGGACGCTCCCCGTGCGCCCACGGCAAATCCGCAGACGGGAGCCTGAGCTGGCGCGGCCGCGGCGAAGGAACGACGGCTCCGTAAGAGGCTCTGCGATGCGAACCCAAGTCAGAATCGAGACCATGAGCTTTCTCGACTGCACAACCGGCGTTGAGGGCAAGGGGGTCATCGGTGGTTGCGACTGCGTCTTGACCTTTTGAAATCCAGGAGGCCGCGGGGAAGGCAAATCCAAGCGCGCGCGCAAGCCAGTGCTGAAGGACCCTTTAGGCCGCACCAAAAATCACTGCGGGCAAGTCTTGCGGAAGTCACAAGATACCGATACAAGCGCTCCCGGGGCCTCTCCTGGGGTGCGCTCTGACCAGAACGTCGAGGCGAATCCAGCAGCGGTGGCGAGGGCCTCCCACGAGGCCCAAAAAAGCGAAAACGAGGGAAGGGTCCCAGACATGCGATGTTGAAGTCGCGACCCTTTCCCCGGGGCTGGTTGTTCATCCCGAGCCGTTGTTCGTTGTTTGATGGTCCCCGGGCCAAGCGAAGGCCCCAGAGGGCCCGAAAACTGCCGAAAACCTCCCGTCGTGAATCGTTTGCACGACGCGAGCATGTATGGGGCAGCGGTATCGGCGCCTTTCCTTCATCTGAGCTCCTACTGAGGGGCGACGATAGGGGGGGATTGGCGTAGGAGGGGAAACATCGACCTGGAACCGGCGATACATCGCCGACAGATCGGCAACAGGCCACCGCCAGTGAATCCGAACGTTCCTGGGCAGGTTGGGACTATCGGGCCCCTATCGGCTCGGCGATGAATGGGCGAGAGGGGTTCGATGCGTCCCCCCCCTATGCGTATCCCCCCTTTTCGCTGCCTCTGGCTTACGAAAGCGGTCCGAGTCCTCCTGGCTCAGCCCGCGCAGGGCTGCTCCGGCCGCGTCCTGCTGCGCGAGGACGGCTGCCGCCAGGCCCGGCTCGAGCACGGCGCCGGCCCGGCAGACGCCGTCGGACAGCAGGCGCGCCAGAGCGCCCTGAGACATCTCTGAGCGATTCCCCCAATCTGAGGGCCAACGATAGGGGGGGCTGGCACAGGTCGGCTACACGTAAGAGTGACCCTGGGTAAGAGTGACCTTTGGTGCGCGGCTTTGGGGGGGCCGCGGGGAGCCCAAATCCAGGCGCGCTAGCCGCTGCTACCGCTTCGCGTTCGGCCATCTGGGGGCCCATCTGTGCCCGCACCAAAGGTCACCCCTGCGAAAGGTCACTCTTACGTCTAGTCGAACAGGGGGGAAACATCGACCTGGAATCGACGGTACATCGCCGATTGATCGGCAACATGCCCTCGATAGCAACTCCGCCGGTTCCTGGGCAGGTGGGGGCTATCGGGCCCCTATAGGCGATGAATGGGCGATTGGAGGTCGATGCATCACCCCCTATGCGTATCCCCTCCGATCGCTGCCCCCGATAGACCAAAGCCCCCTCGAGTCATGACGAATTCACAGCGGAAGGTTTTTCATAATTTCAGCCACTGGGGGCCCTTGCCCGGGCCTCGGGAAAACGACTCGGGATAAAACTGGTCCCGAGGAATGGGTCGAGGCTTCTGGGGGTCGACGTTATGAGCTAAGCATGACGTCGGGGGCCTGGGGAGGACACTGGCATGCACATAAACCTTCGGAGCTCCGCGTGGATTCCTCGCGTCGGCGCCTGGAACCCCGCTGGCGGCGCCTCTGGCGCCGCCCCCGGCGCGCTCCACGCGCCAGGGAGGGGGTCCCATCGCCGATCTCAGACATCTGCGCGGAACTCCGAGCAAGTGTGCTTATGCTGGCTTCCTCGTTCTCGAGGGGCGCTTCCTGGGCGGCTGGAGGCACGGCGCCGAGACGGCCTGAGCCACACTGGCTACAGCACGTGCCCAAATCTCCAGCGATGCGATTTTTCGACCCGGACGATATGACGGGACGGGACGGGACGGCATTTCTGGGGTTTACTCTGGTCCTCCTCCTCCTCCTCCTCCTCCTCTTCCTCCTCCTCCTCCTCCTCCTCCTCCTCCTCCTCCTCCAACTCCTCCCCCTCCTCCTCCTCCTCCTCCTCCTCCTCCTCCTCCTCCTCCTCCTCCTCCTCCTCCTCCTCCTCCTCCTCCTCCTCCTCCTCCTCGAACCGCGACGGCAGCCGAGCCGACTGCTCGAGCTGCGCTTCGGCCTCGGGGGCCCGTGCGCAGGCCCCCGGAGCACCCCAAGCGCATCCCGGGCGGAGCACTGCACCCCGGGGGGGAGGGCTGGAGCCTCTGGGGCCGCGCCTTGCAGACACCTCCTCCAACAGGGCCCCACGACGGCTCAAGAGGGCCCCCACGAGCGCCTCAAGAGGTCCCCGGGCGGCCCCAGGTCGCCCCAGCACGGCCCCAATTGGGGCCTGGGGCAGCTCCGCTACGCCACGCTACTCCCGATCGGCCCGAAGGCCGTGCCAATCTAGAGCTCGGGGGGAAGAACTTGGGCCGTGCCTCCGGCACACGGGCAAACGTGCAATCGTCTTGCGTGGACTGCTTCTCGGACAGGCAGGGGCGGGGAGCGAAAGAGGGCGAGGGAAAAAGGGGCAGAAGGGGAAGGAAACCGTCAGATCCCGTTCGCGGGGGCAGCTCTGGACGGCCCGAAAGGCCCAAAGCCCTCCAGACGGTCCCAGGACGGCTGCAACAGCCCCCCCCGGGCCCCCCGAGCCCCACGACGGGGCACGCGGCCTCCGCCAGACGGACCCACAGACCTGGCCCACGGAGCCCAAACAGCACCATTGACCATCACGCCCAGGCCCGGTGCCAGCAATCATGCCCACGCCTCCGACGGAGGCCACCACTCATGCCCAGACACACAGACCAGCAATCAGGTGCGATGCCAGAAGGGTGGTCCTAGGGTCCAGCGATCACCGCAGGCCAAAGCCGTCGGCGCGCCGTAAGCCAAAGAACCATGTCGTCCGAGGTCTGGGCGCGCGCGGGAGCACGTGTCTCGGCGGCGAGCGAAGGGGGGGAAGTGAGAAGGAGGAGGCCTCCTCAGGGGGCGGCGGGGCTTCTCAGACGCCATCCGGCCGCTTCTCAGAAGCCCTATGGCCTTCCGAGAAGTTCTCTGTGGCCGGGGAAGGCTTAGCAAACCGATCAGAAGGCCCGGGGACCTCGAAGCCTTCTGAGAAGGCCCGCCCCTTCTCACTTCCCCCCAGGGTCGCCGCCGAGTGTCGGGGTCCCGGAACCCTGAACCCCGAAATGAAGTTGCCATCTCTCGGAGGGTCATCTTTTACGCCCGCCGCCTTGCGCCGCCCTTCCGCCGCCCTTCCGCCGGCGGAGGCGGCCTCGTCTGACTTCCGCCGGCCTGCCGCCGCCCTCCCGCCGCGGAAGTGAAGAGACGGCCACTCCGTCGACCCTCGAAGGCAAGGCGCTTTTGGGAACGCCTCACCTTGGAAGAACAAGGGCTCGCGTGTCTGGACGCAGCACCCCGAATGCGGTGCAGATCGGCCGGAGCTTCGGCACACGCACGCGCACGCACGACCAGAGGCTCACTGAAAGAAGCCGTAGGACACATCTGTCGCCCACCTCGGGCGCCCCCCATCCTGAGCTGATCTGAAGCTCCGGTGGAACCCCAGGGGTCGCTGCGGGGTGGAAAACTTACGCAGGCGCCTGCCGGTCAGTCGGTGCTTCTTTGATGCGCCTCGTGTTCCGAAAGCGGGCATGGGAAGGAGCAGGATTGGCTTTCGCGGGAAGCGCATGCGAACGCCCCTGGTTCGAGACGCCTTGCCACTCCGCTGGTCCCCGAACGCTGAAGAGGCGAGCCGCTCCTCCACAAAATTGTGGTGGCTTCTTGTTGTGACGGTATGTTGTGTCACTGCTGGCAGCCCCACTGCTGACAACAACGACGACGGCGCGGCGGCGACTTCGGTCGTGGACACGACGCTCTGCCCCCAATGTGGAAGTTTCTGACACATCACAAGCGCTCCCCTCGCCAGCAACACCACTGCCACCTCCTGCTCATTGACCACCACCGCCGATGATGCACGGTAAGGGGGGACAGATCTCGCCCGTGCAGGGGCCTTGCCAGTGGACCTGTCGGCCAACTTCTCGATGACGTTGCCCAGCGCGGAGAGGGACTTGTTGATGGCGCAGCCCTCCTTGAGCCTGAGGAGCGAAGTGGAGACTTCGAGTGCTGCTAGAATTAGGTCGGGCATGTCCTCCTACAGGCGGATTCTATGATAAAAATGAAGATAACTATTCACCAACAAACACAAAAACAGTCAAAAGGGCATGAAACATCGTCCCCCGACTATCTCTCCTATTCTTGAAGATTCCCCCTGCAGAGGGACATGCCCGACTGAGTGCTAGAAGTGCCCCTGGCCCAAGGTGCCCCCAGGATTTCCAAGGAGGCCCCCACGGCCTCCGCAGCACCCCATCGCAAGGCTTAAGTCGGGCGTGTCCCCCTACAGGGGGATTTTCAACGAAAAATACAACATACCTCAAACATAATCGAAAGATATGTTTTAAAAGAATCGTCTGGGGACTGGGAATATTTCTGGGGTATCATTTACCTTTTGGAATATTTCTGGGACTGGGAAATATTTAAGTATTTTTTTACCTGTTTGAAATGTTTCTGGGGATTTTTAATTTTTCGTCGAAAACCCCCCTGTAGAGGAACAGGCCCGACTTAACGCGAGGCCCATAGAGCGAGCCCCAGAGGCTGGCTCCAAGGCTGCGCGGAGAGCTGGCGGCGAGCCCGGGCCCCGGGCCTGCTCCTCCTCCTCCTCCTCCTCCTCCTCCTCCTCCGCCTCCTCCTCCTCCTCCTCCTCCTCCTCCTCCTCCTCTCCCTCTCCTCCTCCTCCTCCTCCTCCTCCTCTCCTCCTCCTCCTCCTCCTCCTCCTCCTCCTCCTCCTCCTCCTCCTCCTCCTCCGCCTCCTCCTCCGCCTCCCTTTCCTCCTCTCGCAGCGCGTCCTCGATCGCCACCCCCCCTGACCCGCGGAGCGAAGGGGAGGCCTGGCGAGCAGAGGGGAGGGCGCAAGAGCAGACCCCAGCGCAGACCTGTCCTGCCTCGGCGGCAAGCGAAGGGGGGAAGCGAGAGGGAGAAGGCCTTCCCAGGAGGCCGCAGGGCTTCTTAGAAGCCCTCGAGCCTTCTGAGAGTCTTGTTGTCTTCGGGGAAGGCTTCGACAGCTTATCAGAAGGCCAGGGGTTTTACGAAGCTTCTAAGAAGGCCTTCTCCTTCTCACTTCCCCCCCTCGCTCGCCACCGACGTGTGGGGGGGGGGCACACAAGGGGGGTACAGTCACAGAAGAGCATTCTCCAAGAACGTGAGACCCTCTGCCGGCCAAAACACCCCAAGCCAAAAGACCACTCGAGGGTGCCCTCGCCCAGGATGCACAAGAGCCTCCAACAAGCACGAAGAACACAAGGGTACCCTCCCCGAGCCGACCTCGACCTTATACCTCGGCCCGACCGTAGAGGGAGGGGGGAAGGCCTCGTGGAGGGACGCTGCTTCTCAGAGGCGCTGGCCCTAACATCCGAAGACGGGGCCCGCGCCCTCTGAGAAGCAGGGGTGCTTCTCAGAAGCCCTCCCCCCTCTGCGCGTAGCCGAGCTCCCGGGGGGGGGGGAGGGGGAGAGGGGGGAGGAGGGAGGAGGGAGGGATGAGGAGGGAGGAGGCGGGAGGAGGAGGGAGGAGGAGGGAGGAGGAGGGAGGAGGGAGGAGGGAGGAGGAGGGAGGAGGAGGGAGGAGGAGGGAGGAGGAGGGAGAAGGAGGGAGGGAGGAGGAGGGAGGAGGGAGGGAGGGAGAAGGAGGAGGGAGGAGGAGGGAGGGAGGAGGGCACACAGGGCTGGGGGGCAGCGGCGGCGCAGCACGGCCGCCGTCCTCTCCTGCCACGGGGAAGGCGCGGAGCGGGGAACACGGTGGCCTTGCCGGCCACGGCGAGAGCGACGCATGGGCTCCACGGCCTGGGTTCGGCGGTGGACAGACCTCCCTTTAGTACACCTCCCCTCAGTGAAAACGGCCTGGGACCGAGACCGGCGGACCTGGACCCGCAAAAATGACGGCCGCGGCGCCCTCTCGCGCACCGAAAACGGCCAATTCCTGAACCGACGTGTCAGGGTAGGAGGTCTATCCACCTCCGATGGATACGAGGAACGGCCCGAAAATCAGAGCCCCTCCGGAGTCCAGCACGGTGCTTCTTCCAGCGCCTTGGCTGCATGAGGCATGCGCCCCCATCCATGGCCGCATCAGTCAGCACCGAATCGAGAAGACGGACCAAATCGGAATGTGCGCGCGGGATCGGGCTGCATCGGCACGGGGTCGAAATCGAATCGGATCGGCTGCGGATGCACAGCAGCGGCATGTAAGCATCGGGCCGCATCGGATCGTCGGCATATCGGAATCGAATAGGATCGGGCTGGCCGAAGTCGGTTTAGAGTAAAATCGATCGGAGATCGAAATTGACCATGGCCACGTACCTCGGTCCTGCACCATCCTCGCCTCCACCCCCACCTCCCACCTCCATCCTCCCTGCCTCCCCCCACCCCCGTGGAGCTGGGCTCGGTCAACGCCTCCGGGGCAGCTGGGACACCCCCTGTCCTTAGCTGCCCCGATACGCAACGCGCAACACGTATCGTATTGATACGGAGCTCAACACGTGGGCCGAAAACGCAGGTCCGACGCGACACGCTCGCCAAACCGTGGTCCAGTACGTGTAGCCGACGCGCAACGTATCGGCACAGACGTCTTGAGCACGGGACGCATTGCGTCTCAAAACGGGCGTACCCATCGGCCGGAAGAAGTAGGTAGAAAGATGAAGCAGGAAGGCGTTGGCAATAGATTGGCTATCCGCCCGCCTCCTGAAGAGGCAGGAGGAGGGAAAAAACCGCTCGACTCTTGAAGTATGAAGGCGCTGAAAGTAGATTGGAATCTGGAAATCCAAAAATACCTACGTGGTCCAGTACGTGGTCCAGTAAGTGTACTCCAGATTTCGTAATAAAGGGAGGGGGGTCTCATTTCGGGGGGGGGGTCTCTTCCGGGCCATCTTGGAGGGCCTGGGGGGTCTGGGGACGCTGTTTTGGAGGGTTCTCCCACGGGGGAGGTATGAGATAGCTTGTCTTGGAGGGTCCAGACCCCCTCCCTTTTATTACGAAATCTGGAGTACCCCAGGGTTGGGCCTCAAATCTCTCGTCCGTCCCAAAGCCCCACGACGCCTGGGGCAGGGTCGACGCGTCCCCTGTGAGAACCACGACGTCGGAGGCCGAGGCTTCGGGCCTCTATAGGTCAGCCTCTATAGGTCAGCCCCCTGGAGACCCCCTCCCTTTCAGCACGAAATCTGGAGCAGCCGACGCGCAACGCATCGACACGGACGTCTCGAGCACGGGACGCACTGCGTCTCACAGCGGGCGTGTCGAGGCAGCGCGGCCCCCGTCCCGTGGAGCAGGCCCGGAGAAGCGACGGCCTCCTCCTCCTCCTCTCCTCCCATTGCCTCCTCCTCCTCCTCCTCCTCCTCCTCCTCCTCCTCCTCCCTCCTCCTCCCTCCTCCTCCCTCCTCCTCCTCCTCCTCCTCCTCCTCCTCCTCCTCCTCCTCCTCCTCCTCCTCCTCCTCCCCCGCCCTTCTCCCCTCCTCCTCATCTCCTCCCATTGCCTTTTGCCCCTCCTGTTCTCCCCTCTCCGCCTCCCCTCCCGTCTCCTTTTCTGCGCCACCGGGAGTTGAGCAGGGACCGACCGCGCCGGCAGTTCTATAGGCCTACCACGAAGAGTTCTCAGAACCCGAAAATGTTCTGAGAGCAAAGGCAATGTTCTTAGAACACAAACCCGATGTGTTAAAACAAGGCAGTCCCAGCCAGAAATGTTCTAAGAACATTTCGCTGGAACCTCAAAAGGTTCTTAGAACATTGCTTGGTGGGACTATAAGCGAGCCGGGACGCTTCGCCACTGCTTAAGGAAGCTGACCAATATCCACTGCCGCTGGGTCGTGTTCCGAGGGCTCGGAGCGCGGTGGACATGGGCAGCTGCCCGCCCACGCGGGAGGGCAGCTATCTGGATCCGCCGCTGCTCGAGATCTCAGGACGCGACTCCGAAGCGGTGGATGTGGACATGATCTGGCGGTGGTCTCCTGCCCATGGCACACCCCTCGCCAACACGTGTGTGTGATCCCCGGCCGGGCAAGGCTTTGCTCCCCCACGGCTATACAAGGGCTCCCAACTTCGCGCTTCGCGCTTCGCGCTGCGCGAAGCGCGAAGTGCGAAGAGCTTCGCGCTCTCGCGCAGCCTCCCAGGGGAGAAGAGGAGGGTGAGGAGGAATCGGAGCCGAACCGCGAAGCGCGAAGCGCGAAGCGCGATCAACTTCGCGCCTCGAGGGCGCCCTTGGCTATAGGCCCGCGACCCACGGGGAGCGCGCCGCCACGAGCGCGCTCCGCTCGTGGGAGGGCTGCCCTCCGTCACGGGCTGCCCTCTGGCTCAAGAGCCTGCAGAAAACTCCCGAACTGAAGATCGAGACCTGCAGGATTGCGGGAACGGCAAGCGACCAAAACCACATCGGGGACACACCCTGGTGGGATGTCTGGCGAACGCCACAGTTGTCGGAACACCGAAACCAGCTGCGCACTGGCTGTGGTCGATGTGGCGTCCCAGGACGGCCCAAATCGGCCTGCCAGGCGCTCCTGCGCCGCGTGCCGGGGGCGGGGCGGCCCGGGCGGCACGCGGCGCCCGGCAGGCGGACGGCGTGTCGCTCCGCTCCACGGGGCGGGAGACCGGGAAGCGCGAAGGGGCCCAAGGGCACACGAACAAATACACACAGAGAACACGAACCCCCATATTGTTTCATATCTTCTCGTGTTCTGCCTTCCCCCCCCCCTTCCCATAGTTTCCCCTATCCTCCTGGGAACCGACGATTCATTGCGTCTGCGTGCTTCAGTCCTTCCCGAAAGTGCTCGGGGCGTTGACGCTCGGGGGCCGGGGCGTGGACAGTGTGCCACGCCGACGCGTGCGTGGTGGGCCAGAACCGGCGGTGCGACACGCCAAGCCACAGTTCCTGCCCGTAGCGCCAGTTAGGCCTCCGTCCTCCTGCTTCCTTCTCCCTCCATCGACCTCCGTCATCCCCCCCTCGCCCCTTCTTTGCTGTGCTAGGGGGGCGCTCGGCCCGCAGCGTCGGCCGAGGGGCCACGCGCGCGCGTGCACGGCCCCTCCCGCAAGAGCAGCCAAGGGAGCCTGGATGCCGACGGCGGAAGGTATGGCCAAGACATGCAAAGACGAGCACCACCTCCAACACCTCCATATCCACCGACCGGTCTCCCCCACCATCAACAGCAACCGAACCGGGCCCATGTGGCAATCCAGGACGATCGACGTGGCAAGGAAGGAACCCCCCTCGCCCGCCTCCTCCTCCCTCTCCGCCTCCTCCTCCTCCTCCTCCTCCCCTCCTCGTCCTCCTCCCTCCTCCTCCTCCTCCTCCTCCTTCCTCCTCCTCCTCCTCCTCCGCCTCCTCCTCCTCCTCCTCCTCCTCCTCCTCGTCCTCCTCCTCCTCCTCCTCCTCCTTACCTCCCTCCCTCCCTCCCTCCCTCCCTCCTTCCTACCTGCGGAGCCTGTCACCGCTGGCCCCCGTCTGGCCCGCCTTCTCGCTTCCTGCGGCCAGCGAGGGGCGCGCGCCGCGGAGGGCGAGTCCGACGACGGGGCGCGTGGGCTGGCCACGCGCTGCAGAGGCAGGCGGAGAGCAGGCGCACCCCACGGCACGAGGGCCCGGCTCGGCTGGAGCTCACCTCCTCCTGAGCTTCTGCTCCTTCCTGCTCCTCTTCCTCGTCCTCCCTCGTCCTGCCTTCGTCCTCCTTCCTCAATCCTCCCCCCTCCCTCCTTCCTCGCCCCTCCTCCTCCTTCCTCCTCCTCCTCCTCTCTCCTTCCTCCTCCTCCTCCTCCCTCCTCCTCCTCCTCCTCCTCCTCCTCCTCCTCCCCTCCTCCTCCTCCTCCTCCTCCTCCTTCCTCCTCCTCCTCCTCCTCCTCCTTCAGCTCTCCCTCCTCCCCCTCCTCCAGCTCTCCCTCCTCCCCCTCCTTCGGCTCCTCCCCCCTCCCCCTCCTCCCTCCACCCTCCCCCTCACCCTCGAGCTCCTCCTCCCTCCTGCGCCCCCCAGCGGGCGCTCCTCCCTCTTCCCCTCCTCGAATCTGCTGACCCCTGGCATGCTAACCCGCCTCGAACTTATCCCTTTCCCTGAGATGGGCGAGTCAAAAAGCGAGGACAGTCTTGGGGATAGGCCCTCAGAAGCTGAGGGAATCCTTAAGATCGGCATCGAGGTGAGGTGATGTCAAACATAGGGATAGGGATATGTGCTTCAAACTGGTAACATGCGGAGGGCGGGCGTGCCCGGCCCACACTGGAAGGAGCGCAGGAGGCGAAGGGCCTGCCCGCGGCAGTCTCGCCATCGCTCGGACGTCCATTCCCCGTGCATCTGTCCGCTTCGTGCGTTTCGACTCTTCGCGCGATGATCCCAGCGCTGGTCCCCGCCGAGAAGAAGTGCAGACGTCCGAGCGATGCCAAGCGGTGGGCAGAGCAGCCCTGGGGCCTGGGGCGCGTGCTGGTCAAGACTCCGAGGCGAATACAGCTGTGGCGACGAGCGCCCATCCAGAGGCTCGAGGAGGCGGCGAAAACGGGGGAAGGGCATGCGCATCTGCGCAGGGGAGAGACAGCAAGGGCCCAATTACCAAAAGAGGTTTATTCTTTCAAAACAAAAAATGCAGGAGAATGTTACAGTCGGACCTAGGGCAGAAGAGTATCCTTCAAGAACAGGAGACCCTCCGCCAGCCAAAATGAAGAGGATTTGAGGGTACCCACCCCCCGGATGCACAAGAACATCCAACACACACGGAGAACAGTAGGGTACCCTCGCCGAACCGACCTCGATCTTCTGCCTCGGTCCGACTGCATGTTTCGGGGATCGACCAGGTTCTCCGGTGGGGCGGAGGGGGGGCTAGCCGATATCCGAACCATTTCGCGCTGGGCAGCCCCACGTGTGCCCACGCGCACCAGGCCTGCGCACCCCTTCGGACCTGCGCAAGGGACAAGGTCAGCTTATCTGGGGTGCGCGCAGGCCCGATGACCCGGTTGATCGCCGAACCCTAAGACGGTCTCCAGAGGTCCTCGGAGTGGTACTCCAGCGCCCAGAAGAGCCGACCAAGGCAGGCGTCTCTCAACTCTGAACCTTCCACAACGTGTTGTGCGTCCCTGCCCTCAGCAACGAGCCCCAGGGTGACCAATATCCCTACACAGGAGATGAGGAGTAAGAGAGCTTCAGAACTTCCGCCTGAGAAATCTGACTCTGCAAGTCCCGTTGCTTAACTCGTGGTCTGGGTCCAGGCCCAGAATGCCTACAGAAATCTACGGAGAGGCGGCGGCAACAGGAGCAGGTGTCTGGAAAGAATCAACTGAGGGATGGGGGGAAGAGACGGCACTACAAATCTGAAAGCATCTTCACCGTCGACCCTGGCAGCCAGATGTCCTCATGTATGCTGCTCAGGAGACTCAACTCCGATACTGTTCTGGAAGCTGCTGTCTTATATATCTGATGGGTATGTAATCAGAGGCACAGACAGATGGACGTCCCACGGGCACGCAGGACAATCTCGGGTTGCCAGGACAGTGCATATCATGAGGATCTATGGGCATGCGCGCGGTTCTAGCTGCTCGAAGCCGGCGGCGATCGGATAGAGGCAAGGAGAAACCCGAGGGCATGTGGCCACTCTAAAACCCCAGGTCTAATCAAAACCCACGCATGCCCCCGCATACCTTCCTAAAAAAATCAACGTCTCCGACAGCGCCCATCTACGCTATACAAATCACTGCTAATACCAACAGGCTCTGGAACGTCCAACCAAATGAACTCCCGATCCTCCCACGGCGTGGCGGCCCCGAAGCGGCCGAGGAGTCCTGCCAGGTCGACCAGGTTGATCAGCGACAGCTTACAGCCCTGCTGCCTCAGCACACATCCAAGTAGCATAGGAGATCAGACGGCCTTCGACAGGCTCTTTCAGCTCAGTGGCTATCAAAATGAATGCTGCTAACATGTCGTGCCAGACTATGAAGGTATCGCGTGGCGCCATACGACGCAACGAGCCGCATCACCAGTCACAACGCGCAAACAATTAGATCTGGAATATTCCGTTCGAGTGTAGTTGGGTAGCGCAATTCGAAACCCTCACGTCGTAAGACTTGCAGTGACATATTAATCGAATCATGGACCATCGAAGGTAAAGCCACAGAAGACCGCACCGCGGCTCAAACTTTACGTTGTCCCCATGCAACTGGCTATCAGTGTGAATCCGTGCGGCGTCCAAAGGCAAACAGGCGGGACTGGTGGCGAGCTACCGTCCTCCTCCTCACCCTCATCCTCGTCATCATCGGCACCACTACATCCAGTTTCACCAGAATCATCCCCTCTCCTCTTACTAATCCGAAATTAACCACGACAGGGGAGCACGTTGTGGTGAGTTGAGGTTGCACGCCCCTGCCTGAATCGACGTTCGTGATGAGGGCCCTTCGACTTCGGATACACGCTTGCGGCTTAAACTAGTGTTACCAAAAACGAATGCGGGTGACATCTAGCCTAAGAAACTACAGGATGGGGACATGTCTCCGAACGCCGCACAACGGCCACAACGTCAAGACCAGCGACTCCAGCCAAAGGGGCGCGGCCGAAAACCGAACGATGCAAGGCTACCCTAACACACCCCCATCCTGACCGACTTGGCGCCTGGACCAGAAGCAAGGCCAACGTCAGGACACAATCAGGTCGGGCATGTCCCCCTGCAGGCGGATTGTGGACGAAAATTACGAAATATACAAACATGCTCCAATATATATATATATATATATATATGTATATATATATATACAAAAAATAGTCCCCTGTCTATGTTTTGACTACTTTCGAATATCCCCGACTTAAGGGTACAAGGGAACCCTTGGAGGTCCTCCCGGGGGGATAGGCCCACGGGGGCGTCGCACCGCGCAACCGAGGGGTGCAGCCCGCCCCACGGGGAACCCTAAGGGGCTGGCCAGCGAAAGCTGCCAAGGACGGGCCGAAGGGGCAAGGATGCAGGTGCAACCTTGGAAAGCTGCTCATCTTTACTGTGCGCCCTGAATGTCGACGACGACGGCGGCGACGACGACGGCGACGGCGGCGACGACAACGACAACGACGGACGGCGGCGGCGACGAGGACGGACGACAGACGACGGACGACGGACGACAGACGTCGGACGGCGGACGACGGACGACGGACGACGGACGACGGACGACGAACGACGGACGACGGTCGACTGACGACGACTGACGACTGACGACTGACGACTGCCGACTGACGACTGACGACGACGACGACGACGACGACGACGACGACGACGACGACGACGACGACGGCGACGACGACGGACGGCGGACGGCGACAGACTGCGGCGGCGGCGACGAGGGCGCCTCGGCGAGGGCCGCCGCCCCAGCCCACGCGAGGGGGGCCCGCCGATCCGGCGGCAGCCCCCGAGAGACACGGGCAGATCTGGCGGCGCGCACACGCGAGGGGCAACGAATGCTGCGTGCTGCGTGCGAGTGGCAGCCGAATATGCTCGGGTCGGGCGAAAGGGGGGGATAGCAAAGGGGGGGGGGTGAGAATCAGCTCAAGTAGCTGATTTTCCCGGCGCATCCCGGCGCCGGAGGCGGCTGTGTATCGAGGAATGGGCCCCTCGGTGAGGCCGAAACCAGCTGCATGCAGCAGATCTCGTAGCCCCCCCTTTCCCAATCCCCCCCTTTCGCCCGGCCCGAGAGCGGCAGCCGAAGATGCCCTGGGCAAATTTGCGCGAGGGGTGCGCCTCTGCTTCAGAAGATGTTTCGATACAGTTGTATGCTCTCTGCGGCTCTCTGCGGACCCGGCAGGTGCAGATGCCTCGAGAGGGGCAACGATAGGGGGGGGACTGGCACACAGGGGGGGATGCCACGAGGCGAGTCCAGCGGTGGCGACGAGGGCCGCCCAGGAGGCCCAGAGGGGGGGAAAACGGGGGAAGCGTGGAGGTAGGCGTACCTCTCGGGTCGGGCGAAAGGGGGGGATAGCAAAGGGGGGTGGTGAGAATCAGCTCACGTAGCTGATTTTCCAGGCGCCTCCCGGCGCCAGAGGCGCCCATGTATCGAGGGATGGGCCTGGCGGCGGGGCCGAAACCAGCTCTACGCAGCAACTTTTTTACCCCCCCCCTTTCCCAATCCCCCCCTTTCGTTCGGCCCGAACTGCTTCCCCCTCCGAGACCACTCCCCTGGAGCATTGAAGGGGCCCCAGGACACACAAATAAATACACACAAATAAAACGATTCCCCATATTTTCCCATATTTTCTGGGTTCCTGTCTTCCCCCCCACTTCCCATATTTTCCCATATTTTCCTGGGAGTCGACGATTAATTGTGTCTGTGTGCTTCTTTCCCCCCTGGAGCATGGCCTCTCCGCCCTCCCCTCCGCGCGCCGCCGCCCGGCTCCGGCGCCCAGCTCCCCGGCGGGGGCGGGCGCTCCCTCGGCCGGCGGGAGCTCCCCCCGAGGGGCAACGATAGGGGAGGGGGGACTGGCATCGGGGGGATTGCAAAAAAAAAAAAAACAAGGATTGCAAAAAAAAACCTTCGAAGGATTGCAAAAAAAAAACCCTTCGTTTTTGTTTGCAATCCTGTGTTTTTTTTGCAATCCTTCGGCCTGGCACCGGCGACACATCGCCGACGGATCTCGGCGATCGGCCCCCGACGGTGCGCCCGCACCCTCCTGTGGAGGTCGGGGCCCCTCTCGGCGATGCACGGGCGATCGGGGGCCGATGCATCCCCCCCTGTGCCGATCCACCCCCATCGCCGCCCCCGAGCAAGGGCGCAGGGGGAGGAGGGAAGGCTTCTTAGAGGGGGGCTGCTTCTTGGATGGCGCCGGCCTCACAACTGTACGGAAGGCCCGCGCCTCCTGAGAGGCGGGGCTGCTTCTGAGGAGCCCTCCCCCCCTCCCACTGCCCCGCCCCCCCTGCGCGTGGCTGGGCATCGCTCGGACGCCCATTCCCCGTGTTTTTGCCCGGTTTCGTGCGTGGCTTTTTCGCCAAATGATCCAGGATGCTCCTCGATGGCCCTCGCCGAGAAAAAATGCACACGTCCGAGCGATGCCAGGGTGGCCGAGAGACGCAGAAAGCGAGGACGCCCCCCGGTGCGCGCGCCGACGGGCCGGGCGCAGACGCTGGGCCCGAGGCCCGGCGGCCTGCGACACCTCGGCAGGGGCAGCCAAGCGCGAGCCCTACAGTCGGGGCGCTGACCCAAGATACGACAAATAAGGAACGAAGCCCCTCGTCTCCTTAAGTTTAACTTCGATTTCAAGTCGAACACCGAAGGTCAAGCTAAGGCAGACAGTCAAACAACCAATGAACACGGAGCCCCTCCCAAACGAAAAAGGTTCCTTCTTCAGCGCCCCGACTGTACCCCTTCAGGTCGGGACCTCCGAAAGGCCAGCGCGAGCCGAGAGCTTCAAGAACGTCCGCAGCCAAGTGAACCCCGGCGGCGGGGGTGTCCGATACCCCAGCGGCGGTGGGACCCGTAGGGGCAGGGCTCGCAAGTGGTCGCAGACTCGGGAGGGAAGATAAAAAAGCTCTGGCGTTGCACCTCGCATGGGGTCATCCGAGGGCGTCCCATGGTGACCGAACAGAGAACAGGCAGGGAGGAGGCCTGGAAGCGACTGTGAATTGGACAACTCGTGACAACGACCAATCCCCTTCCAACTACAGCTGGCCTTGTTGAGACGGAGGAGGGGGGAGGGAGGGAGGGGAGAGGCAGGGAGAAGGATGATGAGGAGACCGCGCGAATGAGTGAACGGCCAATGGCACGAGCGTGCGCTACACAGCATACTTGCGCACTGCTGTTTTCCAAGCTTCGGCTGGAAACAAGAACCATGGCAACCAGAGCAACGGCAAATGTGCTGTGCATGCTCTTATGTAACTCTGATGCCCACGCCTGCCAGGGCCTTCCCCTCTCACGGCGACCGGGCTGCTGCGCCAGGTCGAAGGAGGAAGGCTGGAAGGCAACTTGTCTGACAGGATGTTCGCTACTCTTGCGCGCAAAATCTCGGAACAAAATCATGAAAATAACAGGTCCTGAGGGAAACGGGTCCTGGGGAGACCAAAAGATACCGATACCGCTTCTCCCCAGACCTCTCCCAGGGTGTTCTGACCAGGGTTTCAAGGCGAATCCAGCGGTGGCGACGAGGGCCCCCCAGGAGGCCCAAAAAGGCCAAAACGAAGAAAGGTGGCGGTATGGGTACGGCGAGTTCGTGCCGACACCGCGTGGATTGCTCAGCCTTGAACGATCGGCAGCTTCTCGATCGCCAGATCGTTCCACATTGACCCATTCTAGGCCACTTGCGGCATTCCACCTTGCACGGCCGCGCTGGTGCCGCCGCTGGCGGCAGTCGACCTCGAACGGCCGCGCTGGTGCCGCCGCTGCGTCGACACGACACCAACCCACCGTACCTCTTTTCCTCCTCCGAGCTGGAGGCACGGCTGACCTGCGAAGCCGCTCGAGTGGTCGCCTGCGGCGACCACCGGCACAACCCGCGCTGGCGGTTGTAGCACCCAGGGAGCTGGCCGGCTGTCCTAGAGCGCTGCGGACCTCGCCCTTGCGCTCAAGCAGCCAAGCAATGACGAACCTCCAGGTCCACCACTCCTCCTCCTCCTCCTCCTCCTCCTCCTCCTCCTCCTCCTCCTCCTCAACCTCCTTCTCCTCTTCTTCCTCCCCCCTCGTCCTTCTCCGCCTCCTGCTTATCCTTCTCCTCCTCTTCGTCTTACTATTATTATTCGTAGTATTATGTTCCGTCTTCTTATTATGATAATTCGCAGTCTTATTACCAGGATTATTATTATTAGTAGTTGTAGTACGATGAGTCTTATTATACAAATTATTATTATGTGTTTTCTGCATCCTCCTCCTCCTCATCCTCATCCTCCACTTCCTCCTCCCCCTCCTCCTGCTCCTCCTCCTCCTCCTCCTCGTCCTCCTCCTCTCCTCCGCCTCCTCCTCCTCCACCTCCTCCTCCTCCATCTCCACCCCGCAATTGGGCGGAGGCCAAAACGGCCAACGCTCGGCGACAGGAGGTCCCCAGGGCCCGCTCGCTTGCTCCGGAAAGGAGGAGGAGGAGGGGGGGGGGCAAAGAAGGCGGAGGGGGATTGTCAAGGCTGTCTCCTAGGGCACGGGTAAAACATTACCATGTTCGTGCCCTACGAATCTGTATGATCCAAATGGGTATGGGTCCCTGCCCCTGTCAACTAGAAGTACGCCTATTGAACTATCAGCTGTAACGCAGCCTAAAAACTTTCGCCCAAGGGGATGCCCCACGACTGTGAGGCACAAGTTACAACTGGCCCCTGGGTCGCCCCACGGCTGTGAGGCATAAGTATCAGCTGTAGGCTATGACATGGTCTATCCGCTCGCGCCCGGAGGGATAGGGCTGCCCCACGACTGTGAAGCACAAGCTCCAGCTGGCCCCTGGGTCGCCCCACGACCGTGAAGCACGCCCTCAGCGCCTCGATCACCCCCCCGGCATTGGCACGGCGAGGCCCCCAGCTCGCCCCCTGCAAGACTGCCGCGGAGTCAATGGGCCGCCGTTGGCGGCAGCTCGAGGCTCCCTTTGGCCAGACGGGACGCCCCCGACAACTAGTGAACAAAACGCCCTCCGGGGAGGCAGCTGTTCACAAGCGTTCCGGGGCCGCCCGCCTGGCCAGGGGGCGGGCGATGGGCGGGGGAGGTCAGAGGGCGTCTATAAAAGGCGGGGAGGGGAGAGCACTGTTCTACCTGCTCCCCCCGACCCAGCAATGCCGCCCCACAGTTGGTGCGGGCTGGTCAGGCCGCGGGAGTATCTACAGGGAAGCTGGAAAAAGTGGAAGTTGGAAAATCAGTGAAAGTGGAAGTGGCCAGGGCTGGAATAACCGACAGTGGGTGAAGCGAGCCCGAAACAGTAGGAATGCGGCCGCCAGGGCTGGAACAAAAAAGAGAACTGACCAGGGCTGGAAAGAGTGGAAGGTCTGGCCTCAGTCACTTTTTCCAGCTTCCATGTAGATATCTTGCTGGAAATATGCAAATACCACCTGGGCGCAGCCCGCCCCGAAGCTGCTCACCGTCCGCACGGCCGAGACCTTATAGCTGTCCATGGCTTCTGCACGTTTTTCTAGCCTTCCCTGCTCCGTCGCCCGCTTGGCTCGCCCGAGACCATAGCTGTCCACGGTTTCTGTACTTTTCTGGTCTTCGCGTGAGCAAATGGCTCAGCCATGAGCTACATGTCCTATGAACTTTCCCCCAAAGGGCTGCCCCACGACTGCGGAGCACAAGTTGCAGCTGGCCCCTGAATCGCCCCTGGAGTGCGAGGCAAGAGTATCAGCAAAAGGCGATTACGTGGCCTATACCCTATCTCCCAAAAGGGCTGCCCCACGACTGCGCAGCACAATTTACAACAGGACCCTGGGTCGCCCCACGAACGTGACGCACAAGTATCAGCTACATGATACAAAAAATCCCCTCAAGTTTCGCCCAAAAGGCTGTCCCACGACTGAGAAGCACAAGTTACCACTGTCCCCTGGTCCACCCCGCGACTGTGAAGCACAAGTAACAGCTACCCACTACTGTGAAGCACAAGTATCAGCTACAAACTAAACACTTTCGCAAAAGGGCTGCCCCACGGCTGTGAGACATAAGTTGCAGCTGCCTCTTCGGTCGCCCCACGACTGTGGAGCACGGGTAGCAGTTATAGGCTATGTATTACATCGCCTATAATCTTACGCCCGCAAGGCTGCCCCACCACTGCGAAGCACAAGTTGCAACTGGCCTCTGGGTTGCATCACGACTGTGGAGCACAAGTATCAACTAAATGCTGTGACATGGTCCATAAACTTTCGTCCAGACGGCTGCCCCCCCTTTCGCGCAAGTTTCGCGCAAAGGGCTAACCCACGACTATGAAGCTCGAGTAAAAATCTGCCCAAGCCTTATCCAAGACCTAGATACTGAAACCCAAAACCCGAAAGACTGCTGGCGCCTGGGTCGCCCCACGACTACAAGTGGAGGAAGAGGAGGAGGAGGCGGAGGAGGGGGAGGAGAAGGAGGAGGAGAAGGAGGAGGAGGAGAAGAAGGAGAAGAAGGAGGAGGAGGGGGAGAAGATAAGCGGGGGCGAGCCCGGGGGGGAAGATAAGCGGGGGCAGACCTTCTCAGAAGGCGGCGGGGCCTCTCAGAAGCCCTCGCGCCTCCCGAGGAGCCGTGCCTGCCTCTGCGGCGGCGCCCCTGGGGCGCTCCGCGCCCCAGGGTCAGGGTGTCGAGGCCGCCCCCGAGCTCCTCGGGGGGCCTGCTGAGGCCAGCTGGGGCCACCTGGAGGTATGCCCGTGCGCGGCCCGAAGCCTTACCATCGCAGGCCCCTCACTTCACGACCCCTTCCCCCCAGGGCCGGCTCTTCTCGTCCTGAGAGTGGTTGCTGATCGGCCCCGGGGCCTCAGAGGGGCCTCCGAACGCCAAAGGCTGTGAAACCATGTCTGCCTCGGTGTGTTCAAGACGTCAAGACTCTGGGGTCGGATGCAAAAAAAAACACACCGGACCATCCTATGCGTTTTTGAAGGGGCTCCAGGACACACAAATAAATACGCACATATTTTCTGGGTTTCTGTCTTCCCGCCCACTTCCCATATTTTCAATATTTTCTGGGGAATCGAAGATTAATTGTGTCTGTGTTTTCTTCCCTCCTGAGATCTGACGCTTCTAGAGGAACCCAGCTGTGGCCAGGAGAAGTCTCCAGGAGGACCCAACGAAGGCCAACGACGCCCAGCAGAAATTGCTCGCCAGGCCAACCACATGCCGCTGCGAATCGCGCAGGGAATGACCATCTCCACGTAGATAGCGCGCCGCGGGAAGGATGAGGCATGGGACCTGCGCCGTGTGAGAGGTGCGCGGTAGTGGATGGAGGAGACGCATGCAAACGGCTCCAGTGGGGCCTTAGGCGAAGGAAGCTCCTTATGGAGCCACGAAGCGTGTGAGGGGGCGCAATAATGAGCGAGGGAGACGCGTGTGAATGTCGCCACTAGAGCCACGCGAAGCGTGAAAGGGATGTGCCCACATGGACAGGAAACCGCATGCGAACCCTGCCACTGCGGCCCCCTGTGGGGTCACGAAGCGTGCGGGGAGGACGGGGGGGGGGGGGGGAAATGGGCGGGGAACCGCATGCAAACGCAGCCGCTGGGGCCTTCTGTGGAGCTCCCCATGGGGCCATGAAACGTGTGAGGGTTGCGCCGACATTGGCGGGGAACCGCATGCGCACGCAGCCACTGGGGCCTTCGGAGAAGCTCCCTATGGGGCCGCGAATCGCCTGAGGAGTGTTGAAGGGGCACCAGGACACACAAATAAACACACACAAATAAAAAGATTCCCCATATTTTCCCATATTTTCTGGGTTTCTGTCTTCCCCCCCGCTTCCCATATTTTCCCATATTTTCCGGGGGATCGACGATTAATTGTGTCTGTGTGTTTTTTTCCCTCCTGAAGTGTGCCGCAATGGGCGGGAAAACCCGCATGCGAACGTAGCCGCCGGGGCCTTCGGTAGAGCTCCCCTACGGGGCCACGAAGCGCGTGAGGGGTGTGACAAGATGGACGTGGGGAGGGCAGAGGCAGCGACGGGGGGGGGGAGAAGGGGGAGGGAGACGGAATAGGAACAGGAATAGGAATAGCAACATAACGGTGTCATATCAGACTGCTGGCCGAGAGCGAGCTGCCACCTCGGCAGCGCTCCGGACCTTGGGCACGAGGCCTCGCCTGATACGATCCAGGTAGTCATGCCTGGTCCGATTCAGGGGCTTGTGACACGACTCTCTGAGATCCCTCCGAAGGTTGGGGGGGGAGAAGGAGGGAGGCGAGGCGAGTGGCGCGGGGCGCGGTCTCCGCAGCGCGAGGGCCCGGCACCACAGGGTGGCCAGGAACACACACGCATCACTCCCCGACGGCTTCCAAGACGCCGGAGGTCTGGGTGTGGCGTGCGGGCACCTGCTTGAACTCGATGGTGATGACGGTGTGGGCGCGGCTCGACGTCGCGTTCATCAGCGTGGAGCCCACCGTGCGGTTCTCGGTGCCCTGGGCAGGAGAGGAGCGGGCAGCAGCAGCAAGCGAGACAGCAGCAGGAGGTGGAGCTGGGGGAGGATCCCCCCTCCGCCTTACCGGCAGGCAGGCGCATACCCTGTGCCCGTTATCGCTGGCATCTTCGCCGTGTCCTCTATTGCCTTTCCCTGCCCGCTGCGCCTGTCCGACTTCATTTGTTGGCCTCCAGGCCTTCGTCGGCATCTTCACGCACTGGCTTGAGCTCGCGCAACGTCAAAGAGCTGGGGGAGGGAGGGGGGGAAGAGCAGGACTCTGAGACGCCACTGCTCCTTTCGGGGTGGAAGGTCAAACAGGTGGCTGGGCACTACAGGGGCAGCCACCAGGACCACTGCAGTGGAGGGGCGGGAGAAAGGGCTGGCAGGGAGGAGGCATGATGGGGAAGGGGAGACGAGGACGAGGACGAGGACGACGACGAAGGCAAGGAGGGCGATAAGGAGAACGAGGAGGAGGACGAGGAGGAGGGAGAAGAAGAGGCGGAGAACGGGGAGGGGGGAGGAGGAGAGGAGACTCGGGAGAAGGACAACGATGATGGGGGAGAAGGTGGAGGAGGAGGAGGAGGAGGAGAAGAAGAAGGATGAGGAGAAGGAGGAGGGAGGGGGGGGAACGATAAGCTGGCCGCACGCGCGCCATATGTGACATCCTACCCCGCTCACCCAACCCTTCCCACTGCGCTGTTGTTTTCTCTAGCCGCCGACGCGTGCCACAGCGGATCTGGAACTCCAAAGAGGGCCCCATCGTGTTATGCGCAATCGGAAAGAAAAGGACCTGCGTACGTTAGAGGAGGAGGTGACAGATGAGCAGGAAGATGAGCAGGAGGAGCATGAGGAGGATGAGGAGGAATGAAGAGCACGAGGACGAACAGCAGCAGCAGCTGAAGCTGAGGTGGAAGGAGCGGGGGGAGCAGGAGGACCAGGGGAAGGCGGAGGAGGGTAATTAAATGAAGGGCGACAACGATGATAAAGGACTCGATCTAGAAAAGTGGCCCGCGCTGGGGCGAGTGCGCCACGCCGAACGAAGCGAGCAAAGCGCCGATCCGAAAATGAGACCCACGCTGCAGCGGGAACACCGGTTGGCAACAAGGGGAAACAACCGGGGTGCAAAAAAACATACGGAAATCAACGTGTGATATCATGTGTCTGGACAGTGATGCGCGGAGAGGACCGAGCATCTTCTGGGCAGAGTCAGGGGAGAGAGGAGATTAGCCCTCATAATGCGTAGGTGTGGTGGACTTGCTCAGGCGCCCTACCGCATAACTCGCACGCTGGGAACGCCCAGTCCCCAGCAGCTGCGGGTAAAGATGATTATCCGGAAAACGGACCCCTAGCCCTCTGGGGACCTGTGTTAGAAGGGCCAAAGACATTAGGGGCAGGTCTTTTGTTCTGCACGTGTACCGAACCAAACCGCCCAGAAGCGTGATCCTCCATGCGAAGACGAGGACCTCAGTGAGGCCACGCCCTCATCGTGCCATTCGGCTTACAGGGGCCCCTCTGCTCTCGATGGGAAGAGGGAGGGTGCAGCAAGGTCTGCGCGCAGCCCCCCTGCGCGGCCTCCCAGCGAGGGGCCTCCCCGCGGGGCCCCCCCAAAAGCGCTGGGCCCCCCAAAAAATCGTGGGGCCCCCCAAAAGCGGGGCCTCCCGGCCCGGACGCCCGCCGCGGCCCCCCCGGGCGCGGCCCCAGGGCAGGGGCCCCGAGCGTGGCCTCCGGACGGGGCCCCCTGGAGAGGCGGCTCCCGGACGGACGACCGCGCTCAGGGACAACGTTCGGGCGAAGAGACCTGTGCGCATGCACCGATCCTGGCCAGGCCCCTCCTGGGCCCAGGATCGGTGCGCATATGCTCTCCTGGCCAGGGCAGGAGGGCGTGTATGCACCGATGCTGGGATCAGCATGGGCCTGGCCAGGATTGGTGTATGTGCATAGTTATCTTTCCTCTGAAGGTAGAACCGATCGGACACCCCCTCTGACCACCATTCACCACCACCGCTCCGCTGCGAAAGAGTCGCAAGCGCGTGCGCGTTCTGAGACTCGCCACCGCGCTGGCGGCGGTTGCTGTGTGTGCGCGCCTGTGTCTGCGTGTGCGTGTGCGTGTGGACTTGTGCGTGTGCATGTGTGTACGTGTGTGCGTGTGTGTGTGTGTTGTGCATACGTGTTTGTGCCTGCGCCTAACTGTATACTTCGACTTGTGCGTGTGTGCTTGTGGTTCCGCTTGTGCTTGTATGTGTATGTGCGTGCGTGTAGGACACTTGCGTTTGTTCCTCCGTTTAGCGAAGCATGCTTCGGGCCCACGATATATCGAGCTAAACATGCGTTCGTCTTTGAACCGAGTCCATGCTTTCATGACAGCCCCCCCAAACCTACCCCGCAACCAGGCAGTCCCCCGCCCCGATTCCCTCCCCAGGTCGCGACGTGGCGGATTCGCGCGGCAGCGCAGCTGGCTATGCGTGTATGGGGTTGTCGCGAGGCTCGCACACACTGGTTCAAAACATAGGTAGGCTGCGCCGCCGCAAGCTCAATATTGTTTTGGCGACTCTCTTTCTCTCTCTCTCTGGACCTTCGTCTGCAAGGAGAATATTCCTCCGCCGGTTGTGTGAGAAGTCACATCCCCATCTCCCGTGGAAAAAAGGCGGATGCCTCGTCCATCACAGCGGCGATCGCCTCATACGAGTCGACAGGGCGCTTCCTCAAAACCACAAGGGCGCACCGGGGGGGGCGAGAGCGATGAAGCGACAAGGACGCCTTTGCTCTACGCGCTTCTCGCCCCTAGCTCAGAGTAGCCCCCATGCTAGTGCCTGGCTCGGGAACCAGTATGGCCCCGAGGGCCCAAGAGGCCCTCAAGATGCCCTTGCGTGGCCCCACGGACGAATAAAATCCAGCCAGTCCTCTGGGCGCAAGTGGTCTAACGATGTCTTCCTTTCCTCTTCCAAAAACCCCTTCTTCCCATTCGGGGAGGGGTTTAGCACTGTTCCTTATCAATTGTCACCCCCTCCCCAGGCGACCGGGGGCCAACCAGAACCACCCGCCCCCCTCCATCCCTGTCAAAAAACAATACAAACCGAACCACTCTGCCTCAACATTTGGAACATGCGCGGACAACCCGATGCGCCCCCCCCCCCATCCCTGTTAAAAACAATGCAAAGTACACTTTGGGGCAAAGTCTTGAGTCATGTTCGTGAGGCCCGCGAACACTTTGGATTGTTTATGACAAGGACGGCGGGGGACTAAACGGTGAACCCCCCTCTGTTCACCGACACCCTCCACGACAGCCCCAAGAGGCCCTCCAGGGCTTCCAAGAGAGCCCCAAGAGAGCCCCAAGAGGGCCCCAAGCAGCGCCCAGGAGGCCCCAAGAGGCCACCAAGAGGCCCCCAAGAGACAGCCAAGAGGCCCAAAGAGGCCCCCCCCGAGGCACCCACCCAAGACGCTCTAAGAGGCCCCCAGAACCGCCAGGAGGCCCCCAAGAAGCCCCAAGAGGCATTCAGGAAGCTCCCAAGCGAAATCCGAAGAGACTCCGAGAGACACCCAAGAGGCCTCTGGCTCTTCTGCTCGCCCTTTGCCTCCTCCTCCTCCTCCTCCTCCTCCTCCTCTTCCTCCTCCTCCTCCTCCTCCTCCTCCTCCTCCTCCTCCTCCTCCTCTTACTCCTCCTTCTCATCCGCCTAATCCTCCTCCTCCCTCCTCCCTCCTCCCCCCTCCTCCTCCTCCTCTTCCTCCTCGTGCTCCTCGTCGTCGTTCTTCTCCTCCTCATCTTCCTCCTCGTCCTCCTCCCCCTCTTCTTCCTCAACCTCCTCCGATTCCTCCTCCATCTTCCTCCCCCTCTTGGGGTATGACGGTTTCCCCGGCCCTTTGTTCCCCTGCATGCTCCCCCGCTTCCCTCATCAAAGCAACTCGTCTGGGCATCGTTGCTGGATGGGCTGGTGGGGCTACGCGAAACGTGAGGAACTCTGAAAATCAGACCGCATGACTGCAAACGTCTGCGACTGACTGGCCGGAGGCCCAACCCGTTGCTGCTCCCGAAAGCGCGATGCGATCCACGCTTCGCAGACCACCGCCTCCCTTCAGCCGAAGCCTTGGCTATTGCGAGGCAGCGATTCATTGAGGTCCTGCGCATGTGTAAATCCACCGCCTGGGGAACTGATCTCACGGGACCCCAGGGGCGGTTGATATTGATATATTTGGCGCCCAGGGGAGACGAGTATATCTATATCCACCGCCTCCCGAGATCAAGGAAGATTGGCTCCCCAGGCGGTGGATATGTATGACACCGTGCCTCAGAGCTATGCTTACTCAAAGCAGGTTGTTTAGAACAAGCGCAACGCACCAATGCAGAAAACTACGGCTAAAAGGAAAAGACCACGGCCAATATTCTCAGCTCCCCCGCGCCAACCCGCTCTTGCCTCCTCGTCCTCATTTTCCCTCCTCTTTCGCATCCTCCTACTCCTCATCCTCCTCCTCATCCTCTTCCTTCTCCTCCTCACCCTCATCCCTCTCTCAGGCAGGATCAGCCGCAGCAAAAGGAGATATCAGACGGGAAGAAATCGACCAACGCACCCCTTCCTCCTCCTCCTCCTCCTACTCCCCCTGCCATTCCTCCTCCCCCTGCAACGCCCCTTCCACCTTCGTTGTCTTCAGGGTCGGCGGCACCGGCCGTACATAAGGCCTTCGCAACATTCTCAGCTCCCCCGCGCCAGCCCGCTCGTGCAGCCTACCCCTTCCAGACTGATTTGGACGCCCGAAATGGGTACGGAAAAATTGGGTACAATGCCCAACAACAAATGTTGTCCCAGACCGACAGCGGCCGCTGTTGGGCAGGCGGCCTTCTGTCTCAAATGGACACAGGCCGCGGCGGCGCGGACAGCGAGCCCTGTTCAAAATGAACAGGAGCTGCCGTTGGGCATTGTACCCATTCTTTCCGTACCCATTTCGCTCGTGCAGAACTGAGGAAACAACATGAGACCGACGCCCGTCTCCCCCGACCTCTCCCAGAACGCAGTCGGATCAGGATTCCGAGGCGAATCCGGCCGGGGCGCCGAGGGCCCCCTCGGGAGACGGGGCAAGGGTCAAGCGAGCGGAGGGCAGCGGCATCGGCACGTCGGTCGCCCCAGACAGGCTGCGGGGTCCTCACGCCGTCGATGTAGATGCCGAGCTGCTTGTTCTCGTGGATGTCGAGTCCCTTCTTGGGCCGCTGGGCGGCGGGGATGAGCAGGTCCTGCACCTGTCGCGCGGGCGCTCGTCCCAGACGCAGAGGGGGGGGGGCGAGCACCCCAGGAGGCTTTGCCTCTCGGCGCCGCGCACGCTTGCCTTTTTTAGCAGCAGCAGCTCCTCGTCTGGAGGGCGGGCGGGTTTTTTAATGGGGACATCGCCGTGGCCCTGCGCACGCTCGGCCGAAAGAGATCCCGAGGAAGGGCGGGTGGCTTTCAAAAAGGGGCTCTCGTCTTGGCGCCGCATGTCGAACCGTGGCACGGATGGAGAGCGAGTCGTTTTCGAAACGGGGGTGTCGCTTTGGCGCCGCGCACGCTCGCCTGACAAATATCCAGCAGCTACGCGGATGCAAGGCGGCCCACGTTCAAGACGAGGCCGTCGCCTTGGGGCCACGGAGACCCGCCCAACAACAACAAATAGCCACACGCACTTAGGGCGGCTCCTTTTCAAAATGGGCCTCTCGCTTCCCAGAAGGCTGAACTTGCGCAACGAGTGCGGATGGAGGGTGGTTCTCTCTCAGAGCAGGGATGCCAGTTGGCATCTCCTTGAACTTTGAAGCCCCACATTGCCGTATTCCTCATAGCTCGAACAAAGGACGGCAGTTTTTTTTTTTAAGGAGATCCCGCCTGAATTGCTGGCCGATGGGGGATTCGTCCTTCAATGTGTGCGCTTCGCGCAGTGAGAAAGAATGCTTGTAGGGACTACTGAGGAGCGGACTTGGAACGGGCGGGTGTATCGCAGCATCGCTGACACATCTGAAAATTACTCTGGTCCTCCTCCCCCTTCTCCTAATCCATAATCCTCCTCCTCCTTCTCCTCCTCCTCCTCCAAATCCTGCCTCTCCTCATCCACCTCTCTTTTCTACCCGCCCCAATGCCCCCTCCTCATCATCATCCCCCTTTCCTCGTCCTTCCTTGACCGCGGATGCAGTCACGCAGCTGGCGCGCGCTTCACGCTCTCTGCACTGCAGCCGATGTGCCGTCAAGCAACGGCCTTGATGATGCCTCCGAGCTGCCTGGCAGTGCTAGGGGGTACGTAGGCATCATCTAGCAAGAATGACACGCCGCCCCCTCTGAGAACGCTCCTGGGCTGCTCGGCGGGGTATCCATAGCTTTCGAGGGGCGTCAGCATGGAATCGGGAATTCGGATCGAATTGAAATGTGTGTCAGACTGGGATGCATCGGAGCGGAGTCGGAATCGAATAGAAGCGGGCACGCCAAGGTGCACGACGGCGCCGCGCAGGCACCGGGCCGCAGCGGACCGCCGGCATGTCGGAGTCGACACGGATGGGGCTGGCAGAAATCGACATCGACTCGGATCGATTGGCTCGGGCAGAGTGGAAACAACTGACAGGGACGCACCGCGCGGGCTGAGATCCGCGGAGCGGGGCCGAAAGCCCTCGGAGGCAAGGATGCCCTCTGGATGCGATGGCAGGCCTTTTACCAGCCCAGAACATATCCCTACCCCTATGTTGGGCATCGCCTCATCACGATGGCGACCTTAGGGATTCCCTGAGTTTCTGAGGGTGCATCCCTAAGACTGTCGTCGCCTTTTGGCGTGCCAATCTCAGGGATGGGGATGAGCTCGAGGCTGGTGAGCCTCGGTGGGGCCCTCGCCCTCACCATACACAAAGATCCGATGTCGTGATTTTTTCAATGCGGGTTCCCCGGAAGGGTCGACCCATTCCCCAGGACCGGCTTTCATCCTGAGTCGTTTTCTAACAGTCCTGGGGCCCGCTGAGGGCCCCTAGAGGCCGAAAACGGCGAAAAATCTCTGTCTTGTTTTTTTCAAGACGTTAAGTCTCTGGGTAGGAGCGCGGGCCGCAGCCGAGGAGCGCCCGCCACCGAAGCGGACCCTCCTCGGGCGGCTCCCGCCGGCGACCAGCGCCCGAGGCCAGCCCGCGCCCTCGCCCAGGGCCCCGGCAGCGGGCACGCCCGCTGCATCGAGGGCGGCAGCCTCCCTCCCCCCGTCCCGCGGAGGGCGCGGAGGGGGGAGGGAGGGGGGAGGGAGGAAGGGAGGGAAGGAGCCAGCGAGAGAAGGGAGAGGAGGGGGAGGGGGGGGCCGATGCTAGGGCTGGCGGAGATGGCGTCGTAGAGAGAGGAGGAGGAGGAGGAAGCGAGGAGGAGGAGGAGGAGAGGAGGAGGAGGAGGAGGAGGAGGAGGAGGAGGAGAGGAGGAGGAGGAGGAGGAGGAGGAGGAGGACGAGGAGGAGGACGAGGAAGAGAGGAGGAGGAGGAGGAGACTCCAGAGGAGTGGGGAGAAGGAAGAGGAAAAGGAGGTGGAGGGGAGGGAGGAAGAGGAGGAGGAGGAGGAGGAGGAGGAGGAGGAGGACGAGGAAGAGGAGGAGGAGGAGGAGGAGGAGGAGGAGGAGGAGGAGAGGAGGAGGAGGAGGAGGAGGAGGAGGAGGAGGAAACGGAGGAGGAGAAGGAAGAGAAGGAGGAGGAGGAGGAGGAGGAGGAGGAGGAGGAGAAGGAGGAGGAGAAAGAGGGGGAGAAGGAGGTAGGGGAAACGCAAACCAAATGCACCCCGTAGCCAGGAAGCCGACCAGGGAACCACGAAGGTCAAAATGGGCGGCTGTCCTAGCCGCTTGGCGGTTTACCGTTTAGGGGAAGCCCGTCCGCGGGTGACAACCAGCCTTGAGATGTCTCAAGGCCGTCGTGCAAGCGCCACCTAGTCTTCCAGGTGACGGGCCCATCACGACTGGCCATCAGCACTGGGGATTGTCGCGAGGCGGACGAGCCGCCACAGATCAGACAATATACAGAAGGCCCTTCGGTTACCATGTGGTGGCCAGGACGACGACGACGACGACGACGACGACGACGACGACGACGATGGCCACGACGAGGACAAGGACGAGACGGAGCGGGGGAGAAGTAAAAGGAACGACGAATGCAGCAAATGAAGAGGCACGCGAGGAGAAGGAAGGATGAGCAGTGTGAGGAAGAAGAGGAAGAGATTGATGATGAGGACGAGGGATGAGGAGAGCGACGAATCAGGAAGGGGATGGATGAGGAGGGGCGACCCGCGCTGTAAGCCCCGAATTCCCAGAAGGTGGACGACTCTGGGAGGGCGATGCTCGTTGAGCTCCGCCTGGCAGAGACGGCATTGCCTCGCTTCCGCTGGCATACGCCGCCCTCGCGCTGGCCTCCGCCAGGGGGGCGGAACGCCAACTGGTCGATCCTTCGAGGCCGAGGCTCTGATCTGGAGCGCCCTGCATAGGGGGGGGGGGGCGAGCAGGAGGAGGAGGAGGAGTAGGAGAAGGAGGAGGAGCGAGGATGAGGATGACGGGCAGCGAGGAGGAGGAGGAGGAGGAGGAGGAGGAGGAGGAGGAGGAGGAGGAGGGAGGGAGGGAGGGGGAGACGCGCCTGCTCGTTGTAGATCTCCACCTGCGCCGCCAAAGGCACGCCGCTCGCGGCTCCGGGGAGAAGGAGGCGCCGACCAGAGAAGAGAGAAACAAACAAAAGAGATCGTAACGAGCCAGCGGGGAGGAGGATGTCTGAAGGGGCCCTGAGACACACAAATGAATACACACAAACAAAAAGATTCCCCATACTGTTCCATATTTCCTTCGTTTTCGTCTTCCCCCCCACTTCCCGTCTTTTCCCATATGTTCCTTGGGATCGCCGATTAATTGTGTCTGTGTGTTTTTTCCCCTCCTGAATGTCGCTGTCCTCCTCGCGAAAAGATCGTGGGGGCCTCTCCGGCACCACCGCTGGACGCAGCCCGAAAAACGAGTCAGCGTGGACCCCAGGAGCGGCCGAAGGGAGGGCTTTGATCGGACCGTGCCCGAACCGCAGTCCAGGCTGCCAGACAGGGAGGAGAAGGAGAAGGAGGAGGAGAAGGAGGAGACGCCTCGGACCTCAGACGCAATGAACGTCACTGCCTAATATCAGTCTGGCAAAAGAATAAAACGAGAACGATGTCTTGAGACAATTGGCTCGGGACACGCTCCGGGCATTCCAGGGCATCCGGCGGCCCTCGCCTCGGGAGCCCGCGCGGAGCAACAGGAAAACCGGCATACCTTGAAACGTATCATCACGGAGAGGGTATTGGATAAAGAGGCCCTGGGCAAGGAATCCGGGGTCTGAATGCTGGGTGGAAGGCCAGCTGAGGCTTGGCCGTGGATGTCACCGCCGCATTGATCAGATAAAGACTCCTCCAGGGCCTGAGGCCTCCTGAACACACTCGTCCACGAACGCCCCAACCGCACCGTGGCCGCCTGCTCCCGTGAGAGAAACGGAGCTGCACGAGGCGCGACCACCTTCGCGCCCTGGAGCCACCCCCGCGGAAGTGGGCCCGCGCTCAGGCGCAGCAGACCGAGGAGCACGACAATGCACGGCTCAGAAATAACCACGTCGCGCCCCCGCGGGCGACACCTCGGAGAAGGCATCCGAGCTGCATATGCAAGCCCTGGCCACTGCGGCGCAAGCCGCCTCCGGCTGCAGAGCAAGCGGTCGACTCTGAAGCCCTGAGCTCAAGCCTGCGGGCGTCTCGCTCTCGCGGTCGAGATCAATGAAGTAAGCACGGGCGGCCAGGACGCAAGGGCCTTGGACGCCGAAGCCGGCACTTTTTGGGCGGTGGACTGCCCACACCCTGAAGGGCTGGCCAGTGAAAACCGCGAAGGACGGGCCGCAGAGGCAAGGGCGCAAGGGTACTCTAAGGACATCCGTGCGTCCTTGCTATGAGTTATGACTGTACGTCCTGATTTCCACACGCTACACCCTCTAAATGTCACTCAGCACTGGGATGTCTTGCGGCGGGCCCAGTCAAAACTTACAGATGTCTCGGATCGTGCCCCCCCCCCCCAGCACGCTCGTAAGAGCGTTCGAATGATTTCGACATGCGTGCGAGAGAGGCCCGTCTGGTCGCATAAATGTTGTCAACCACATGGTGTTCGTCGAAATTCGCAAGAGCGCGCGCAGACTTGTTTGAAAAATCATGTTGGAAAACCACGTGTTGATTAAATGTGTTCGAAAAACTCGATTATGAAATCATTACGAAAAGGTGTTTGATGAATTGCGGCATGCGCGCGCGACGACGCGCGTGTGGACTTGGTCAACTTGTTCGAGAGAGGTTTTTGGCATTTGATCATTTGTGACAAACGAGTGCGCGCGTGGTATTATCAACACACGAAAGAGTGATCCTTCGCTAGAGTGACCTTCTAGTGCTGGCCCCAAGCGGGTCAGGGGATTTCTTCTGGAATGAGCTTGACCTCGCGTCGGACCCGCATCGCGTGATTGCCCTGGCATCTGAGCGCGCCAGGTTTAGGCCCCCCACTTCAATCAACAGCACCGCAAACGCGGCGGACTCTACAATGCGCATTGGATTCCTGGGGGGGCGTCCGTCGACCAGACGGCGCGATTTCTGCCCCAGGACCAATCCCAAATCCTAGCCCAAATCCCAGATCGTCCGGTTTGAATATCTTTGGATATGTTTGAATATCTTTGGAAAAATTGAATATCTTTGTTGCATATACTTTTGGAACCAATGGGGGTCTTTACTGTTGACTGCAATCCAAAAATGTTCAAACACATTACAGGCCCACGGATGAGGCCGGTTTGGGCCATGACGCTGGACCGAGTCAGACGTCATCGCGATGCGGCCTGGCAGGGTCAGACCTCATCGTGGTGGCCCCCGGCGGCGTCTGCTTCCGCAGCGCCTTCGAAGTGCCATTCGGGGCGTTCGAATCCAATTGGCGGAATTCCGCGGCTGCACAAGAGATCGTTGGAGCGGCAACGCGCCGACCGTTGATGCGGCGCGGCAGTGCCGGCATTGCTCGGTGGCGTTGGGCCCCAGCAAGAACCCCTGAAGCCGCGCACCAAAGGTCACTCTAGCCTAGAGCCACTCCTACGTGTAGTCGATTTGCCAGGGATGAAGGGGTCGGACTCGATTTAACTGGGGTGATTTGAATTCATTTAAAAATTGAGCGATGGGGCAAAATCGTATGCAAGTTGCACACATCCCCAGGAGGTACGGATAACCCATGGGGGGTGGTAGATCCTATTCTTTGTTGGCAAAACCAAAACCTACGCGCCTCAATCTATGCGCGGCAACGACGGGGCGGCGACGGCGGCAACATCAAGCGGCAACGATGCGGCGATGGGGTGGCAACGGCTGCAACGTAGCCGCCAGACCGACGCACAGGCCCAGTTCCTTAGAACGGAAATGAAACCTCTAAGTGTACAAAATTCCTGGGACATGTATGCATATCTTCCCTGGCACGTACGCACTCTCGCGCGCGCGCCAGGGTGGATGCAGGAGGGGAGGAGAGACGAGAAGGGGGGTAGGGACGAATCGAAAAGAGGGACGGAGGGACGGAGGAGCAAGAATCTCCAAAACGCCCGCCATGGACGCCAGCACTTCGAACTTGAGGTCTGGATCAGGGTTCGCCTTGATGCGCCGGAAGATCTCCTGGTGAGCGATGAGCCCTCGTCGTCTGGATCTTCCTCTTTCGTATCCTCCTCATCCTCATCAGCCTCATCCTCTTCCTCGTCATCACCCTCGTAAGTCTACTAATGTTACTCGTCCTCCTCATCTTCACCCTCACGCTGATCCTCCTGATATTACTCATGATCCTCATCATGCTCCTCGCCGGGTAAATCTTACCAAACCTTATCCCGCATCGGCCTTATGAGAACAATGTGGCACTGCTTCTCCTCCTCCTCCTCCTGCTTCTCCTCCCCCTCTTCCCCATCAGCATCAACAACATAACCATCATGTCGCCGTGACTGCCAACACCGTCGTCGTCGCACCGACACCCACGTAAATATCGTCATCGTTGTCACCGTCGGGTCGCGTTCAAGGTGACAGTACAGAGTCGAAGGAGGAAGGCACTACTACGACGACTACTACTACTACTACTACTACTGCTACTACTGCTGCTACTACTACTACTACTACTACTACTATTACTACTACTACTACTACTACTACTACTACTACTACTACTACTACTACTACTACTACGACTACTACTACTACTACTACTACTACTACCTACTACTACTTACGACTACTACTACTACTCACTACTACTACTACTACTACTACTACTACTACTACTTACTACTACTACTTACTACTACTACTACTACTACTACTTACACTAATACTACTACTACTACTACACTAATACTCTACTACTACTACTACTTACTACTACTACTACTACTACTACTACTACTACT